GACACGGGTGCAATGCGTGAAGCCCATTTCTGGTGTTCTCTGCCGTGATGTTGCTGGAATATTGCTTAAAGCGGTGTTAATTCATAATCACTCACTCTTGTCAGTTATATATTTCCTCAGCTTGTTTCTCGCAATATCATTGATTTATTCCAGTTAACTGAATTATTGCCAGAGTTCAGTTTGTGGCAGTGCAGGTCGCCTGAAGGATTGGGTGGAGGAAGATTTGGCCCGCTGGAAATATCAAATTGTTATGTTACGGAAAACATGTTGAAATGGCTGACATGTAGCCATTCTCCTTACACTAACGGGGAGCAGTCGTCTAAGGTGCCGCGATTCGCTGTGTAGAGTTGCGTCCCTTGGGCACGCCAGAAACCTATGATTGTGGGTTCGATTCCCGGTTCGCCCCGATTATGTTTCTAGGTTTGTCAGCACCATACCCGTGCTCGTGGGTTTCACCGAAGTGGTAAACGTCTAAGACCTGCATCACTTCGGGCTTCCCTCCCACATTTAGGTGACACGCCGTGATATAACTGTAATACTGTTAAAAGCGGCGTTAAACCCAACTCACTCACTCACTTACTCACTCACTCACCTTACACTAACACGTCTTGGACGTCTGCCGTGGTCTAGTGGTAGAGCGTCCGCCCGGAGAGCGGAAGGTCCGGGGTTCGATCCCCGGCCGCGTCATACCAAAAGATAAAAGATGGTATTTGTTGTTACACTGTCTGGCGCTCGGCATAAAGGGGCTAAAACAAGGACTGGTCGGCTCGGAGTCAGTATACTGTGTCTGAGTGGGGTATTCATGTTAAGCTGCGGCATGGTATCTCAGTGAGCTAGCACTATAAATCGGCATCAGTCCGGACTAGTACAAGCAGCCACACACACACACGTGCATGCACGTCGCTATATAAGTGCAATAATCACCTCACTTCAAACACACAGCTAGACATGGTCATGGCCCCGTTCCACAAAGCGATCTTAGCGTAAACATACTTTAACCTTGGCTTACGATAGTCCCAGCGCTAAGATCGCTTCGTGGAGCGGAGCCCATGCTTCCGGACCTCCGAGATTCAGACTTGTATCTACAACACGGATGAGTCATCCGTCTGGACGGGTGTTGACTGCGGTGTTATACCAGTCGATCGAAGACGGGACTCCATTCAGACATAGAAATGGCACTGTAGAGTGTTAAGATTGGGTTAACGTTTGGATAGTTAACTCCAGCATGGTGACCAGCCTCTTAGTTGTGTGTTTCATCCTCGCAATATCCAATGTACTGTAAATTATTAAATGATTTATGGTATAACTTTCAAACTACCGGTTACACCGGAGGTCAGATGATCTTTTTATACCCATGGCATCTTGTCAGCTGGGGCGGTGGGGTAGCCTAGTGGTTAAAGTGTACCCTCTTCACGCCGAAGGCCCGGGTTCAATTCCCGACACGGGTGCAATGCGTGAAGCCCATTTCTGGTGTTCTCTGCCGTGATGTTGCTGGAATATTGCTTAAGGCGGCGTTAATTCATTATCACTCACTCTTTTCAGTTATATATTTCCTTAGCTTGTTTCTCGCAATATCATTGATTTATTCCAGTTGTCTGAATTATTGCCAGAGTTCAGTTTGTGGCAGTGCAGGTCGCCTGAAGGATTGGGTGGAGGGAGATTTGGCCCGCTGGAAATATCAAATTGTTATGTTACGGAAAACGTGTTGAAATGGCTGACATGTTGCCATTCTCCTTACACTAACGGTGTGTGTGTGTGTGGGGGGGGGGGGGGGGGGGGGGGTCCAGTCGTCCAAGGCGCCGCGATTCGCTGTGCAGAGTTGCGTCCCTTGGGCACGCCAGAAACCTATGATTATGGGTTCGAATCCCGGTTCGCCCCGATTATGTTTCAAGGTTTGTCAGCACCATACCCGTGCTCGGGGGTTTCACCGAAGTGGTAATCACGGGTTTTCACTTCGGGCTTTCCTCCCACATTTAGGAGACACGCCGTGATATAACTGGAATACTGTTAAAAGCGGCGTTAAACCCAACTCACTCACTCACTCACTCACCTTACACTAACACGTCTTGGACGTCTGGCGTGATCAAGTTCTTAAGAATGAATTAAATGAAGTAAAGAGATCAACTGTCCCAACTTCAACGGAAAATCGAAAAATGAGCGTGCTTGTGACCAAATTTGAATTGTGTACTATATATTTTAAAAAATTGACCTGATTTGATCTTCAAAACTTCAAAATATGCTTCTAAAATATCGCATATGTTAGCCTTGCCTATACATTTTGTGATGTTATCTATTAAAAATAGATTATTAAAATGCAACAGTTGATAGGAAAAAATCCAGTTTTCATACATGTACGTGAGCGAGTGAGTGAGTATGGTTTTACTCCGCTTTTAGTCATATCCCAGCAACATCACGGCGGGGGACACCAGAAATGGACGTCACACATTGTACTCACGTGGAGAATAGAAACCGGGTCTGCGGCGTGACGAGCGAACGCTTTAACCACTAGGCTAGCCCATTTCTGGTGACCCCCGCCGTGATATCGCTGGAATATTGCTAAAAGCGGCGTAAAACCATGTTCACTCACATAAAGTATGAAGATCGATCGTATGGGTCAGAAAGGGCCCTCCTTATCATACCACGTCCCTACATTATAATGCAAATAGGTAATTCACCAGGCACAAATCTCTATGAAAAAAACCCATAGAAAATGTGCTTGCAACTAAAAAATAAATCTATAAACATGTTCACCATTTAAAAAGGTGTTTCATAATTCTCCTGACATTTCGAAATCCAATGATTGTTAGATTTAACAGAGCCGAAAGTACAAGACTTCAAGCAGGGTTCACAAATACAACCTATTGCCATAGTTTACCCCAGCACGTCACTTCCCTGTAAACAGGCGCTTGCAAGTTGCCGTGACGCCATCTGATTGAAGATTAACCATTTTTTCAAGTTTTAACGACGTAGTTCAGTCTGCGCGAGATGGATTTTATGCATATCGGTCACAATTGTTAATTTTTCAGCCATGACAGAGACTGTCAAACACTACCATGTATTTATAATGCGCTTTATGTTAACATTAGGGCGGTTGAGTAGCGCAGCGGTAACTGCCCTGACTCGACGTCAACCGCCCCGGTTCAACTCAACAGATGGGTACCTCAGTGTGTGGAGCCTACTCTTCATGTCCCATGTACGCAGTGACACGGCTAGAACCAAACACTCCGGCCCTCTCACTGCAAGTGAAGCATGCCTTTGCCAAAGTGGGATAATTGCTCCCCTTTTAGAATTAAGAAAAAAAAATTCATAACTTTTTTTATTACGACGTATGTTGAAAAGATGTTGGTGATAATATCTGTTTTGAAAAATTAATTGTCATATTAATGCAAGAGTTGGCCCACGGCGTATTTTAACTTGGCAACGAGCCAGAACTCTTTATGATTATTTTTAACAGCATTATTAGGATCTTGAACCCAAAGCTACATTTCTCCCCGCCGAACGAGGCACCAGGAGTGGTAAAGTGTGCAGTCATGCTCTAATTCAAACTCCATGTTTGTGTGTACACGTATGTCATGTCCATGTACAATATATACTGAGGGGCACAAGAAAGTATACCGAGGTTTTTTTTATGTAATTGAAAAATGAAGAACTGTTGTTAACTTTGATTAAATCTGTTTAACCATTCCTCTTTCCTGCAACAGTTTGGAAAAGGTAATCTGTGGCTGGGTCATTTGGTGTAAAAATAATTTGGTTCAACGAAGAGTGGGTTAAGAAATGAATTTGCAACCACACGACCACTACAATGTTAGAAAGGTATACATTCGTGCCGAGACAAAAACAAATTTATTGATTTTTCAAAGATAAGATGTCTAAGATACCCATCAGCACTTGTGTATTATGCGATGCCTTTTTTATGTTAAAAAGTCTGTTTTAAAAAATAAAACCACGTAGAAATATTCTTTGAATGCTCACTAAGCGCCGGTATAGTTCATTTTTTTAGATAATATCGCCAACTATATTTGCAATGGAAAATGAAACATGATAAAATCAATTGAGAGGTATTATTTCATTTCATAACTTGAGAACATTTGTTTCATTTTGTATCGAAAAGCAATTTTGGAAGTGTAATAGCTAATGTCAATCAACGTTTGTTTTTTTTGTTTTTTGTTTGTTGTTTAACGCCGCACTCAGCCATATTCTAGCTATATGACGGCGGTCTGTAAATAATCAAGTCTGGACTAGACAATCCAGTGACTGACATTATGAGCATCGATCCACGTAATTGGGATTGATGACCTGCATCAACCAAGTCAGCGAGCCTGACCACCCGATCCCGTGAGTCGCCTTTTACGACAAGCATAGTCGCCTTTTACGTTGTCAAGCAATGATTAATTCATTTCAGAACTGTGCAGGTCGAAATGACAATCGCAAGAATACGTACAATGTGACTAAATGAGTGAATGTTGTTTTAAGACACATGCAATCTCAGATATATCACGGAGGCCAAGGCCATGTCGAGTCTTGGTCAGGCAAACCTATGATTGATAGCATGAGCAACTATTCACGCTGTTCGGGTGTGTGCCAGGTAAGAGATTATAATCACTCGATCTTCAACTTAGACGCCTCTTAAAAGAATTTGAGAGAGCGCATTGACATATATAGGTGAGTTAACTGTGCATGGTTAAATATAATTAAATATACGAATTTAAACTGCAGGAACGATACATACATAACAGAAATAATATTAATTTGCATATGTACGTATATTGAAAATACCCACACTTGCTTGCTGGCAAATTGCGGTTTATACATGATGTAAATGCAAATGTCAGAAAGCGTTTTAATGCTACGTTATGATAAAATTACATACACCATTGTCCAATGAATATCTATCAGACCGTATCTTACGTCAACACAAGGAGCTGATATTTACGATTGCGGGTATATTTTACGTCCGCTTCGATTAACCACAAAAATGCGCACGCGGATTGACATTGTGCTCCGGAAGTAATGTTAAGACATGGCGGCCGTTGACAGCTTTCAGTTGTTACTCAAGGAGATATTCAAGGCTTGCTCCCATCTAAGAGATGCGTTTGCCATTCTGGGCGCCGTGTATGCGGCGCGGAAAGCCATGCGCCTCACCCGATGTCTGCTTAGTGTTGTAAACGATCACGTGCTCAGCCAACTCGTCGGACAGTGGGACTTGCGGAAAGAGTTCGGACCTTGGGCAGGTGATTCACAAATTGAAATGAGTGATGCAACGAGTCTCCTTTAGATATAATTTATTTAAATGGATATAAGTGTGTTGAGAGAGTCAAATAATGTAATTCCGTGATAGTGATTTGAGTGTGAGAATGTGGAGTCACCTTTAGAGAGTTTCTGAGAGATCAGAATAATCGAAAGGCAAGAGTTGTCGCCCTTAGACCATAAGCAGCAGATAAGAACTAAAATTAGGCAGCTCAAATTCCATTAACTGATAAAGCGAGTGAGTTAAAATTTAAAGTCTCATCGGCATTATTTCAGTCATATAGAGACGAGAACAAGTTGATGTAGATCTATATGCAAGTAAGTCGCAAATACAAAGTTATATTTAAAAACAAATTTATCAAACATATTTTGGCATAACAATCAACTGACAAAAAGTATAAGTTGATGTGAGAGGTTTACAGAATCGATGATTCTAGTTATAATGTATCTTCATATTTGGAAATGAAGTCATTGTGTTCAGAAAAGTATTATTATCAAGTTTTATCAAATTATTTTTATCAATTGTTTGAAGATGATAATATTTGTGGTTATCAGGGATGATATGAGCAGATAGGAATCTTCAGGTCTCTTGATTAGGTGGATATGAAATTCAAGTAGACATTAATAGCTGTGTCTTTTCTCAGCAGTTTCTTTGTCTAAAAAATGAAAACACATAAATATGTCACTTAGCCAACACATGCATTTTATGATTCCTTGACTACGTAATGCCACTGTACATTGTTAAGTTCTACTTGCATTTAGGGGCGGTCGGGTAGTCTCGTGGTTAAAGCGTTCGCTCGTCACGCTGAAGACGCGGGTTCGATGCCTGACATGGGTACAATGTGTGAAGCCCATTTCTGGTGTCCCCCGCAGTGATATTGCTGGAATATTGCTAAAAGCGGCGTAAAACCATACTCACTCACTCACTCACTCCACATGAACAGGTTTCTGGCCCTGCAACACACATTTCATCCTTGTTTGTTTCAGTGGTGACTGGAAGCAGTGAGGGAATTGGTCGTGCATATGCACAGGAACTGGCAAGTCGAGGCCTCAATATTGTCCTCATCAGCAGGGGAGAGAAGAGACTGGAGAAGGCAGCTACAGAGATAGGTGAGTCAATGTGAACACATGTACTAGAGGTAGGGGTAAAGGGGTAGGTGGGAGACTGGAGAAGGCAGCTACAGAGATAGGTGAGTCCATGTGAACACACGTACTAGAGGTAGGGGTAAAGGGGTAGGTGGGAGACTGGAGAAGGCAGCTACAGAGATAGGTGAGTCCATGTGAACACACGTACTAGAGGTAGGGGTAAAGGGGTAGGTGGGAGACTGGAGAAGGCAGCTACAGAGATAGGTGAGTCCATGTTAACACACGTACTAGAGGTAGGGGTAAAGGGGTAGGTGGGAGACTGGAGAAGGCAGCTACAGAGATAGGTGAGTCCATGTGAACACACGTACTAGAGGTAGGGGTAAAGGGGTAGGTGGGAGACTGGAGAAGGCAGCTACAGAGATAGGTGAGTCCATGTGAACACACATACTAGAGGTAGGGGTAAAGGGGTAGGTGGGAGACTGGAGAAGGCAGCTACAGAGAATGGTGAGTCCATGTGAACACACGTACTAGAGGTAGGGGTAAAGGGGTAGGTGGGAGACTGGAGAAGGAAGCCACAGACATAGGTGAGTCCATGTGAACACACGTACTAGAGGTAGGGGTAAAGGGGTAGGTGGGAGACTGGAGAAGGCAGCTACAGAGATAGGTGAGTCCATGTGAACACACGTACTAGAGGTAGGGGTAAAGGGGTAGGTGGGAGACTGGAGAAGGCAGCTACAGAGATAGGTGAGTCCATGTGAACACACATACTAGAGGTATGGGTAAAGGGGTAGGTGGGAGACTGGAGAAGGCAGCTATAGAGATAGGTGAGTCCATGTCAACACACGTACTAGAGGTAGGGGTAAAGGGGTAGGTGGGAGACTGGAGAAGGCAGCTACAGAGATAGGTGAGTCCATGTGAACACACGTACTAGAGATAGGGGTCAAGAGGTAGGTGGGAGACTGGAGAAGGCAGCTACAGAGATAGGTGAGTCCATGTGAACACACGTACTAGAGGTAGGGGTAAAGGGGTAGGTGGGAGACTGGAGAAGGCAGCTACAGAGATAGGTGAGTCCATGTGAACACACGTACTAGAGGTAGGGGTAAAGGGGTAGGTGGGAAACTGGAGAAGGCAGCTATAGAGATAGGTGAGTCCATGTGAACACACGTACTAGAGGTAGGGGTAAAGGGGTAGGTGGGAGACTGGAGAAGGCAGCTACAGAGATTGGTGAGTCCATGTGAACACACGTACTAGAGGTAGGGGGTAAAGGGGTAGGTGGGAGACTGGAGAAGGCAGCTACAGAGATAGGTGAGTCCATGTGAACACACGTACTAGAGGTAGGGGTAAAGGGGTAGGTGGGAGACTGGAGAAGGCAGCTACAGAGATAGGTGAGTCTATGTGAACACACGTACTAGAGGTATGGGTAAAGGGGTAGGTGGGAGACTGGAGAAGGCAGCTACAGAGATAGGTGAGTCCATGTGAACACACGTACTAGAGATAGGGGTCAAGAGGTAGGTGGGAGACTGGAGAAGGCAGCTACAGAGATAGGTGAGTCCATGTGAACACACGTACTAGAGGTAGGGGTAAAGGGGTAGGTGGGAGACTGGAGAAGGCAGCTACAGAGAATGGTGAGTCCATGTGAACACACATACTAGAGGTAGGGGTAAAGGAGTAGGTGAGAGACTGGAGAAGGAAGCCACAGAGATAGGTGAGTCCATGTGAACACACGTACTAGAGGTAGGGGTAAAGGGGTAGGTGGGAGACTGGAGAAGGCAGCTACAGAGAATGGTGAGTCCATGTGAACACACATACTAGAGGTAGGGGTAAAGGAGTAGGTGAGAGACTACTACCTGGTGTATCAGGCCTCAAAGTTTATTTTTTTACCAAGTAGCCACAAGTATTATTTTCCAGGTAGCCAGTGGTAAAATCAAGAAGTCAAGCCAATGTTGTAGGTAGCCAAAAGCATTTGAAATTATCCTTATCAAATAACTATTATAATATATATACAAGTCATAGCACTAGTCTTGGAATTGTATATAAGTGGAAACTGTACTTGAGCTTTGTTATTTGTGATTCGAACAATGATGCAATTTATGTTACTAGATTACATAGGTATATCCTTGCTTATCCAATAAATTATCAACTAAAATAAAATACTAATTACATTAATATTTATGTATTTCGGTTCATTGTTGACTTTAGGAGGAATTATATGTGTTATATATATGCGTCTTCATATGTGTAGCAATAGAATTTAGTTGCCACAAGATATTTTTCAATGTAGTTATTTGGCTACCTCTGAATTTTAGACAGTAGACAAATTGAAATTCTAGTTGCAACTTCGAGGCCTGTGTATTTGTCCTAGGACATCTACTCGAGGCAAGGGAGTAAACTGACTATATAAGATAGCTAAGCGATAAATCTCAAAGAACAATGAAGAATGAAGTGTGTTTCATTTCACGATGAAAAACATTGACATCATTTCTGGAGATTCTGTCGTGCGATTGCAACTTGATGACGTCGTATATAGGATGAAGTGTCTATTGAGTTGTTCCCCACAGATGTAGCTGTAGAGCGCAGATGAACACAATGGACAAATCATCGCACACAAAAGTGGGAGAGATATGACAATCAGTATTTGGAGAAAAGGTGTAGATAATCGACGTAATATTGTGAGAATACCAAACGAGTCTATGCATAGTCCAATCAATATCGCGTAACGAAATCAACATCCGTTTTGCCAACTGGCATGCCGATTTCAGTCGATTGCCAGATTTGTAAAGCATGTGTACCGCCAACTTGGCATCAAAAGATGTTTTCCGAATCCTTTCAAGTTTCTAATCAATATGTTCACGTGATTTGATTCATTTCACAAAGTAAGACCCATACTTTCACAATATGGATCTTGATTATCTATCTGATTGTCTTGACTTGCTTTGCCATTTTGTTTGAGTGAGTTAGTATGGTTTTACGCCGCTTTTAGCAATATTCCAGCAATATCACGGCGGGGGACACCAGAAATGGGCTTCACACATTGTACCCATGTCTGGAATCGAACCTGGGTCTTCGGCGTGACGGGAGAACGCTTTAACCACTAGGCTACCCGACCGCCCCCCATTTTGTTTGAAGCAAATGCCAGTGATATAAGAGGTGGAATCCGATTGGTCAATAGGAGGGACATAGAAGGGCCATAACCCATAATGGCCATTGGTGCGCTACAATCAAGCCCAGAAATTCCAGCCTAGTCTGGCAAGGGTGGAAACTGGACTTTTACAGTCAGTTAACTCTCTTTCCCTGGGAAGATGGTCCTAAGATGCCAAATTCTGTTTCCGAACCTTTTCAAAATAGGGGCATAAATGTCCCAGTCGTCTGTAGCAATGGAATTTACAGTGCAGAATTTGGTCAGTGTCAGAGACTCGGAGTACTTTCATTATGGGTTTGTCGGCACCGTACCCTTTTGTGGATTTCAAAGTATGTACTTGTCTGCATCCTGCGTCACGTCAGGGTTGTCCCATGTTATGTTGTCGCGCCAACCCAGGCCTCAAAGTTGCGATTATCCCGTGAAGATTCCGGGGTAGAATAGGTCTTCAGCAACCCAGGCTTGCCATAAAAGGCAACTATGCTTGCCGTAAAAGGCGACTAACGGGATTGGGTGGTCAGGCTCGCTGACTTGGTTGATGCATGTCATCAATCCCAATTGTGTGTATCGATGCTCATGATATTAATCACTGGATTGTCTGGTCCAGACTCGATTATTTACAGACTGCCGTCATATAGCTGGAATATTGCTGAGTGCAGCGTTAAACAACAAACCAACCAACCAAGTTGCAATTAAAATGGGCGCCAATGCGACCTAAATTTCAATTTGTCTACTGTCTAAAATTCAGAGGTAGCCAAATGACTACTTTGAAAAATATCTTGTGGCAACTAAATTCTATTGCTGGACATATGTAGACGCAACATGTCTTCTACTAATTGTACTGACAATAAATTCCTGCTAAAGTCAACAATGAACCGAAATACATAAATATTAAGGTAACTAGTAATATATTTTAATTGATAATCTATTGGATAAGCAAGGATATACCTATGTAATCTAGTAACATAAATTGCATCATTGTTCGAGTCACAAATAACAAAACTCAAGTACAGTTTCCACTAATATACAATTCCAAGACTAGTGCTATGATTTATATACATATTATAATAGTTATTTGAAAAAAGATAATTTCAAATGCTTTTGGCTACCTACAATATTGGCTTGACTTCTCTGATTTTACCACTGGCTACCTGGAAGACAATACTTGTAGCCATATGGCTACTTGGTAAAAATTAAAACTTTGAGGCCTGCAACATGATTGAACACTGTTCAATGTAGCATTGATCCCAACTCACTCACTTTTTACACTTTTCTAATTACAGCTGAGCAATTCCACGTCGAGACCTGCTTCATTGCCGTCGACTTCAACAACACCACTGACACATATAAGAAGATTGAAGAAGGAATTAAAAATAAAAATATCGGAATATTAGGTCAGGTTTGAACATCAAACTATCAATGAAATATTTATGAACATTTATGTATGATTTGTGGTTCGCTGTCCATCTTCATCAACATGAGAATGGTTTGGTAGCTTGGTTTTAGCTAGTGAGTTGACATTTTCTCCTCTAGTAGAGCTCTCTAGTACTAGTGAGGTGACATTTTCTCCTCTAGTAGAGCTCTCTAGTACAAGTGAGTTGACATTTTCTCCTCTAGTAGAGCTCTCTAGTTCAAGTGAGTTGACATTTTCTCCTCTAGTAGAGCTCTCTAGTTCTAGTGAGTTGACATTTTCTCCTCTAGTAGAGCTCTCTAGTTCTAGTGAGTTGACATTTTCTCCTCTAGTAGAGCTCTCTAGTACAAGTGAGTTGACATTTTCTCCTCTAGTAGAGCTCTCTAGTACAAGTGAGTTGACATTTTCTCCTCTAGTAGAGCTCTCCAGTACAAGTGAGTTGACATTTTCTCCTCTAGTAGAGCTCTCCAGTACAAGTGAGTTGACATTTTCTCCTCTAGTAGAGCTCTCTAGTAAAAGTGAGTTAACATCGTCTCATCTAGTAGAGCTCTCTAGTAAAAGTGAGTTAACATTGTCTCATCTACACGGAGACACACCAGATTTTGCAATGTTTTATTAAAATTGTTAAAAATGGTTTGTAATTATTTACATGGGCTTGCATTTAGCTGAATCTATATATACTTGAATATCAAAGAAATTTTAAAGACATAAATTCTATCTCTAACAGTGATAATAATTAAGGACATACATGTACAATATTTTTCTTTTCAGTAAATAATGTTGGTGTTATGTACGACTATCCCCAATACTTTCTCGACGTGCCTCGCGACGTAAGTACAACACCTCAAAATGTAGAATGAGTTTGTGTTTTTATAGAGATCTGTCATCTACAAACATCCAGTATTTCTTCCCCTTGGAGTTAAAACAAAGCAAGGGCAGGTTAATCTCAAACATGATTATTGATGAATATTTTTCTTAGGTTCTGATTGGAAAGTGATCTGCAGCAACCTACGCTTCCCATCATATAGCTGAAATATTGCTGAGTGCGGCATTAAGCAACAAACAAACAAACAAACAGACAATGCTTAGCTGCCAGTATATAAACATTATATTGTTCCAGCGCCTGTGGCAGCTAATTAACGTCAATGTGGCAGCAGCTACCATGGTATGTATTCTGCACCACTGCTGTGAGTTGGATAAAATACTGCACACTTGAACTTTGTCTTTTTCTCACCAATCTCATTAAAAATCAGACCTCAGTTCTCGCTGCCGCTAAACAAAGATCTGAGGACATCCCATTAGGGGTCACGTCAGAACGACCTTTCATCCGACCAATCAGAGCATCGCATACCAGATTATGAAAGTGACAGTCAGAATGTGATCTAATCACGCAACCTCGAAAACTTTAACTCCGAACAATAGTTACAGGTTCAACAACTGAATCCATACAATCTAGACCATCTATTAGCCATTCCAGAATGTTCTTTTGTTCAGGTTTCAAATTTGTAATTGAGAATTTGTCAAAATATGTTTTGAAGCGTAGTCGCCAATTTGAAATTAGTGCCGTAAAGCACGAGAAAGCTGCCTTCTGATTGGTCATTCCATTGGTCGGTCAAAGTTCGCGCAAGGTCGGTCTGATGTGACCCGTAATGGGATGTCCTCAGATCTTTGTTTAGCGGTAGCGAGAACTAAGATCTGATTTAATGAGATTGTTTGCTCACATGAGTCAGACAGTCAGATGAAAAAAAGCTCCATACTTGGGTTGTGATGATCAAGGGCTGAAGCAAGTGACTAAAGCCCTGATGCAATACAAGATATGTTATTCATGATACTGTACATGACATATTATGAGTCACTTAGCATGGGGAGGGATTCTGGCTAAGAAAATAACAGCCCGGCAACCTAGGCTTGTTGTGAGAGGCGAGTAAAATGATTGGGTGCATATCATCTGAACCCAATTGCGTGGATCGATGCTCATGAAGTCAATCACAGGACTGTGTGGTCTGGACTCAATTATTTAAAAAACTGCTATCATAAAGCTGGAATATTGCTGAGTGCGGCAACAAAATAAACAAACAAACACACCATGGGATGAACATCAAGTTTGACAAGCAAAACAACAATATCCTCTATTTGTGTTGCTCAGTGAATTGAACTCAAGTTATTAGATGGTGGCTATTTGTGAGATTGAGTTGATGTTTGATTTTAGAATGTTTTTGCAACATTTGTTCCTTGCATGAAAACAACAAAATGAATGAGAAAAACAAGATATTTTAAAGTTCCTATTTTCTGAAATTCAGGGGTCTTTTAATATTGTATATTAATATTACCATCCATAAATGTTAAACGAGGCATTAAAACTTCCTCTTTATTTGTCCCCCTTCAAGTGAAATACAAGTCCCCCACCAAGCCATCATATCAGATATAACTATATTAACATCAATTGAGAACGGTTCAGTTCCATTTTGGGACTTTTTACTGACATTTGGTGCCGACTTGAGGCCAAATACTGGCCTCCAAGCCGGCCTAAATAAATCTCCGAAAACTTCAGTTAATATTCTGTATCACTAAAATTTCTGACTGTTTTCATATTTCAGATGACGCACATGATTCTTCCTCAAATGGTACAAAGGTATGTGAAGATAGTACACGTTGCCTCAAGATGGCAACAGTAACTGCAGACTGAAAGAAATAGAAAATTGAAGTGTGTCGTTTTTGCCACACTATGCATCTGAACAGCATCAAGCTATCCCAGTCTGTCTTGACACTTTGTTTCTTGTTTACACAGGTACACCTGTAGAGCCATATGGTCCATTTCATCAAGATAATATTGTTTCGTTGTAAATCAGTTCATATGATCACAGCTTCTCTGCCTTGAAAGTGGTATATGGTGCTGAGTTAAATGCCAGAGACCTATGATCGTCGGTTTGAATCCAGGTTCGACCTGATTACATCTCTAGGTTTGTAAGCACCCTATCCATACTCGTGGGTGTGGTATTAGCTAAACCCTAAATGGGCCCCATCCTTAAATGGGCCTCAGCCCAAGACAGGATAGGGGAGATAACTCTCACGAGCATGCTGCTGGCTGCAAGCACATTGCTTCAGCCACACTCTTGTACACAGCTACACTTACAGCGATTAAACACAGTTAACGAACGAAGACATCTTTGTCATATCCATACTCATGGTGTTCGCCATAGTGTTAAACGTGTCACCTTCATCACATCTGGCTTTCATCCCACATCAATCTGACCCACTCTGATATAACTGGGGTACTTTTCAAAATGGCTTCAAATCAAACTCAGTCAGTCACTTGCTGACGTTGTCATTGGGTATATGTTGTGTTGTGTTCCAGACGGAAAGGCGCTGTTGTCATGGTGTCGTCCGGCGCCTGCTCACAAATCACCCCCCAGATGACAGTGTATGCTGCTACTAAGGTAGGGAGCATCTTCCATACGGAGTTCTGTCCCTTAGTCATAACAGCAGTGGGATGCATTTTCTTTTTATCCATGTATTACAGATGCTGTGCACAGTGTTATACATCACCTCATTCACATTTCTTCTTTATCAAACTAAATACTGCATCAGCCAATTATTTACCGGAACCTGGTTTAATGCTCTACTGTATGATGACTCTTGGGGGTCCAGTGTTTGAAATAAAAATATTTTGTCTGGCGGCCATCATCGGCATGGGCGGATACAGCTTTTTTGAACAGGGGGGGTGCACAATCAAGATCTATTGATTGTCTTTGGTGGTAATTTATACAGAAATAAAGATTTTTTTTCGAAATAAAAAGGGGGGATGCGCACCCCCGCACCCCCCCTCTGTATCCGCCCATGATCGGGACCCACATAATGTAGAAGCAGCAGGCCCTGACCCCTCTCAGGCCTCTCAGGCCCTTAACTGCAGCACACTGTGACAAATAAATTCACTGCAGGCCAGAAGGATCTGTAAAATTTGGAACTGCCGACACAAGATCTACATGCCACTGGCCTATTTTGAACACGGGAGGGGTCCAAGTCCTAAGTGAACTGTGAAGATCCGGGGTAGAATAGGTCTTCAGCAACTTATGCTTGCCATAAAAGGCGACTATGCTTGTCGTAAAAGGCGACTAACGGGATCGGGTGGTCAGGCTCGCTGACTTGGTTGATGCATGTCATCGATCCAAATTGCGTGGATCGATGCTCATAATATCAATCACTGGATTGTCTGGTCAGGACTCGATTATTTACAGACCTCCGTTATATACCGGTAGCTGGAACATTGCTGAGTGCGGCGTTAAACAACAAACAAACCAAACCAAACCAAGTCCTAAGTACCTCATGCTTGTCGTAAGAGCCAACCCAGAAATAGGTGAAGCCCATTTCTGATGTCCCTCGGCATGATATTACTGAAATATTTAAAGAAGTGTAAACCCACAGTCACTCACTAGAAATAGGGTTGGGTGGTTAGGTGGCCTTAACATGTAACCTCATGCTGGAGCAACTTTTGCAGCTTGTGGAATATACTTATGGTCATTGGAGTTTTTGTTTTGTTTGTTTGTTGTTTAACGCCACACTCCACAATATTTGAGCCATATTACAGCGGTCTGGAAATAATCAAGTCTGGACCAGACAATCCAGTGATTGACATCATACACATTGATCCAGGTAATTTGGATATGATGACATGCATCAACCAAGTCAGCGAGCTTGACCACCCGATCTCATTAGTCGCGTCTTACGACAAGCATGGGTTGCTGAATATCTATTCTAACCCGGATTCTTCACGTCATGTCTAATTCAGAATGGACCGCCTCCATGGTCTAGTGGTAAAGCGTCCGCCCGGAGAGCGGAAGGTCCGGGGAAGGTTCGGAAGGTTTGATCCCCGGCCGCGTCATACCAAAAGACGTTAAAAGATGGTTCTTGCTGTTACCCTGTCTGGCGCTCGGCATTAAGGGGCTAAAATAAGGACTGGTCGGCTCGGAGTCAGTATTCTGTGTCTGAGTGGGGTATTCATGTTAAACTGCGTCATGGTATCTCAGTGGGCTGGCACTATAAATCGGCATCAGTCCGGACTAGTACAAGCAGCCACACACACACACGTGCATGCACGTCGCTATATAAGTGCAATAATCTTAGACGTGACGTTAAACCCAACTTCACCTCACAGCACTGTAACGCCTTGCTATTTCAGAGTTTTCTCGACTATTTCGCTCGATCTCTGAACTATGAGTACAAAGACAAAGGGATCATTGTCCAGTCCCTGATGCCATTTTACGTTGCAACGAGAATGACGCGTTTCAGCGAGACTTTGTCCAACACCAACCTCTTCATTCCCACGGCATCTGTGTTTGCTCGCAACGCCATCACCACTCTGGGATACACGACTAGGACGTCAGGGTACCTGCCGCATGCCTTTCAGGTGACTATCATTTGGAATCATTATCATCAGTGCGGTCAACTTATAGCTTTAATAGGGGCGTTCGGGTAGCCTAGTGGTTAAAGCGTTCACTCGTCACGCTGAACACCCAGGTTCGAATCTTGAAATAGATACTATGTGTGAAGCCCATTTCTGGTGTCCCCCGCCATGATATTGGTGGAATATTGCTAAAAGCGGCATAAAACCATACTCACTCACTCGTTATAACTATAATAATGCACAAGATGTTTCTTGTTTCATTGAGTTTGGGACCAGAAATTTGAAGAAGAATGCATAAATGAAATCCAGAGCCACATACAGGGATTTGAAAAAATGTCGAACACTGTTTGATCCAAATAAAACTTTCGGCCATCTCACACTCAATAACACCTACAATTCTGAAAACACATAATGTTAACATTTGAAACTAATGCTGTTGGTTCCAGATACAGTTTCAGGGCATGAAATTCTCATTAACACCCTCATATCTGAAAACACACAATTTTAACATTTTAATCCTCCAACAAATGCCATCAGTTCCAAATATAATTTCAGTGCATCAAGTTCTCAGTAACACAATCCTATCTGAAAACACATAATTGTACCATCTGAGACCTCTGACTGATGCTGTCGCTTCCGAATGAAATTACAGGGCATCAAATTCTCATTAACACATGTAGGGGCGGTCGGGTAGCCTAGTGGTTAAAGCGTTCGCTCGTCAAGTCGAAGACCCGGGTTCGATTCCCGACATGGGCACAATGTGTCCCCCGCCATGATATTGCTGGAATATTGCTAAAACCGGCGTAAAACCATACTCACTCACTCACTCACTCATTAACACACATAATGTTTCTCCTCTGTTTCTCCCTGTGCCCAGTCCTGGCTGTGCCACCTCATCCCGGAGTGGCAGTGGATGTGGGGAGCATCCCGCCTCAACACCGCACTCCGAGAACAAGCTCTTCGGCGGCGCCCCCTGCACCTACACGAGAGTCCCAGCGACCAAGCACTGGACAGCCCCACTCCATCATGATGTCACACCAGGTCACGGTCAAGATCAGGATGCCAGCGGTGCTGCAGTTGCTGCAAACTTTGTGTGAAGGTTGTGTTGATGAATGAGTGAACAAATGAGGTTTATTTGAATTAAGTTGATTTTGTTATTTTATTTTAATTTGAGATGTTTCATTGTATTATATCAGTTATAGATATCAGTGACAAGGATGCATTTTTCTGTAATCTTTTATACGTTTTTCAGTGAATATCACTCCAGTGAGTCTGATTCCAAGGATTGTTAGGATTAGTAATCCGAGGTCTGTCCCCCAAACTGTGCTTGAGCTTGTTGGTTTCCTTGATCACTTTGGAGCTTCCTCTCACACTTGCCACACCTGCCACACCTTCAGACTTCACACACCAGATTCGAACATGCACTCGCAACTTGATGACGTCGTTAATGGGACAACGTTATTTTTTTAGAGGGGAGTGTCTAGCGACTAGTTCCCCCATAGATGTAGCTGGGCGATGTAGACAGTGGCTGAACAATCGGTTAAAAAAGTGGAAAAGATATGACAATCGGTATTCGGAGAAAGGGTACAGATACCGGGTAATAGATGTGAAAAATGTCACAATATGTGTGAAAGACCAAATTCCCCCCCCCCCCGTTCATAAAATGACATTGCCACGGTCAGATTCTGTTCAGGTAGTCTTTATTTAAATACAGGTAAATATTTTTAAAGCATGTACGTTTTACTAACATCATTAAAGAGACAGTACGTAATGTTTACATCGCATTTGCGCCCCAAATGGTTTATTCTCCCTGCAGTTTTTTTATTGTATGATAAACAACTCCCACTGGTCGTTAATATTTCTTAATTAAATAACAACGTGTCTCCCAATGGAAGGAGTCGTCGTGCCTGCCAAGAAATCATTTATTGTTTTTTACACGGTTGGCCTTACACACATCCAATAGCAGAAAATATTGGCATATTGAATGTTCATGAGCAGATAACTTGGTGCTTGTGCATTCTACGTGATACCTATCAGCCATGTTTGTTTCATGCTGCTAATTTAGTGGTAAGGGATGAAGTGACAACATGGAAAATTGGGGATAAACTCAAAATTAACAGGGCGGTCGGGTAGCCTAGTGGTTAAAGCGTTTGCTCGTCACGCCGAAGACCCGGGTTCGATTCCCGACATGGGTACAATGTGTGAAGCCCATTTCTGGTGTCCCCCGCCGTGATATTGTTGGAATATTGCTAAAAGCGGCGTAAAACCATACTCACTCACTTACTCAATCAAAATTAACAGAAAATGATACAAGCACTGTTTGTATGTCTCACATGACCCTGACATGGACATCGGAGTAACATGAGAAAAAGACATTAACATTGAACAATGTCTGGGTCATCAGTTACACACATGTAGTATTTTTCCTTGACACTGGCAACAACAAGTGATATCTTAGGAAGGAATTTATTACGCAGGAGGGGAAGACTTTTTATGTTTCCTCTATGACTATGTCCTAACTCTTGTACTGAATACAGCTTTATACATTGTTAATTATTTGTTTCTAGCTCAAAGGGCATTATAAACATTGTTGCTTTTTTACCAATGATGACTAATGTCAATAATCATAACAAACAGTTGATGAAGTCGGGTGATATTCATCATATTCAACTAATTATGTGAGGCGAGGTGAGGTGAAATGGGGTTTAACGTCACAATAAAGATTTTTGCATTTATATAGCTACGTTTTTGCATGGGTGTATGTGTTTATGGGTGTTTATGGGTTTATGAGAGTGTGTGTGTGTTTGTTTGTGTGCGTGTGTGTCTGTGTTGGTGCTTCTTGTGTGTGTCTGTGTTTGTTTTTGTGTGTGTGTGTGTGTGCATGTGTGTTTGTGTCTGTGCAGGTGTGTGTGTGTGTGCTTGTGGGGTGGATGGGTGTTTGTGCATGTATGAGTGTGTGTGTACGTATGTGTGTGAGTGTGTGTGTGTGTGTGCTTGTGTGTCTGTGGGTGGGTGTGTCTGTGCTTGTGTGTTTGTGTCTGTGCATGTGTGTTTGTGTCTGTGCATGTGTGTGTGTGCTTGTGCTTGTGGGGTGGGTGGGTGTGCATGTATGGGTGTGTGTGTATGTGTGTGTACGTATGTGTGTGTCTGTCTGTCTCTGTGAGTGTGTGTGTGCTTGTGTGTCTCTGTGTGCATGTATGGGTGTGTGTGTATGTGTGTGTACGTATGTGTGTGTGTGTCTGTCTGTCTGTCTCTGTGAGTGTGTGTGTGCTTGTGTGTCTCTGTGTGCATGTATGGGTGTGTGTGTATGTGTGTGTACGTATGTGTGTGTGTGTCTGTCTGTCTGTCTCTGTGAGTGTGTGTGTGTGTGTGTGTGTGTGCTTGTGCGTCTCTGTGTGCATGTGTGGGTGTGGGTGGGTGTGTATTTCTTGCTTTATTCTTTTACATACTTTCAAGGTTGATATAAGCTGCAGTAAATCATTGTGAAGACTTATGTCCCTTACACTGACAGTCCGCTGGTCATGGACTCAAAGATATATTATTATTATAATGTTTGTTCTATCAGATTTATGTCTGAGATCAAATCTCACTTCATTGGCAATGAGGAGTGTTGTTACTTCCCCTATCCCTCTCGCACCCTCATTAGCTTCCTACCTACTCAACATTTTGAGGAAAAAAATATTGGAAGTTGCAATTTTTTTATTTATTTGTTTTCAACATGGCGACCTGAATTTCTTTGCCAAAACTCTGTAAAACAAAAAGAAAAGTAAGTCTCCTATGGCCACTTGAATAGATATCCTTTCTTGTTCACAAATTCCGAGTCGCATGAGGCCTATATTCAATGAAACATAGGATGTGCACAAAGTATAATTATTGCAATTTGAAACATGACAAGGTAGACACAATTTATGGATAAAAATTTCTGTGATACTGTAAAGGCGACGTTTCGGTATGGATCCTTATGCCATTGTCAAGTAGTCTTGCTTGACAAGGGTTGTGTCTACTTTGTCATCCGTCAACTTCTAAGTAATGTCTATCAAACAATTAATAAATTTGGAACATGCTGTCTCTCAACAATAATAACAGCTGTCATTCTTCTTTCACTCTATCATGGCTTGACACCTGATGGTCTTTCACAACATGTGTCCTGATAACACACTGGGAGATAGACATTTCACAATACTGGACTGAAATCGCATAGTTTTGATACTACAAAGAATAACAAAAGCTGAGATTTTTTCAAATAAATTTTGTATGTTATACATGTCATGTGTTTATGCTATTTTCACACTTAATGCATAATGAGATCGATTGATAGACTTCAGATGATGAAGCTCTCATTATAGTTAACCCTCTGAGCTGAAGTTCGGTGGAAAATGTTTAGAAACCATTGATACTTGATGCTGCCCATGCTGTACAGCAAGCAGCAGCCCCGAGACCTAGTTGTTTGTTTGTTTGTTTGCTTGTTTAACACAACACTCACCAATTATCCAGTTATATGACAGCAGCCTTCAGATCATTGTTTCTGGACCAAGCGATCCAGTGATTGACATCATGAGCATGGATCCATGCAGTTTGGATATGTTGACACACTATCAACCGAGTCTGCGAGTCATGGCCAGCATTGCTTGGTAATGATGTAGGACACTCGCATCAATTTGTCAGTATGTTGGTGTTCATAGATTACTGTAAACCTTGAAAATAATGCGACAGTGAAATTAATGCAAAAATGTGAGTGTACTTTGGTCGCATTAATTAAACTTTGCAGTTATGTCTCAATTGTTGACAAGAGGGCCACCCATTGTCTCCATCTGTTTGATTGGATTAAGTTTTGATAAACTGAAATCATAATTGACCAGTCATGTGACCTGGTAGCGACAAAGGTATCTGATGATCATGACTATGCTTTGATAATATACATCTCAGGTGAACCTCATGGAAGTCATTTTCTGGGGTTGGGGTGGAGGACGCATTAATATTTAGTCACATTTCTTGCGAGGTGTCAACAGTCGTATTAATTTAGAGATGCATTAATTTCAAGAGTCACAGTAATTAAAAAGGGTGGTTTTGGTGTTTATTTAAAAATATTTAAACCTTTCTTTATTTTCTCATCATAGTACTGAAACTATGACTCTGTTAGTTACTTTTAGAAGAATCTTTGTTTGAGCAAAAAAGGCTGTGGACAATGTTTTCATCACCCAGGTTGAAAGATTGTTTCATATTTGTCAACCCTCCCCATAGTCCAAACTCCAACCTAATACTCCACCCCATACTCCAACCCAAACTCCAGCCAAAACTCCACCCCAAACTCCACCCTAAAACTCCACCCTAAAACTCCACCCAAAACTCCAGCCCAAACTCCACCCCAAACTCCACCCTAAAACTCCACCCAAACTCCACCCTAAAATTCCACCCCATACTCCACCCCATACTCCACCCAAAACTGCACCCCATCTCAACCGCCACAATAATGTCACCTGTTTCTGTCTCTAGGACCAAAGCACTTGTTAGTGTGTTTTTCTGATTGATTGAATGTTTTGTCATACAATGAAGGAATACATGATGTACAAGAAGTAAGTGTTTGCTTGTTTGTATCACCTCTGTACCAGGGAAGATGAGTGCTGTTGCCATCTTCATAGTGAAGTGCTACTCTATCTGAACTACCAATACTTAGTTACTTACAGTCGTGTTACTGTGTCACCTACACTAGTGTTACTTAGTTTTTGTTTGTTTGTTTGTTGTTTAACGCCGCACTCAGCAATATTCCAGCTATATGATGGCAGTCTATAAAATAATCAAGTCTGGACCAGACAATCCAGTGATTGACATCATGAGCATCGATCAACGCAATTGAGATAGATGACATGTATCAACCAAGTCAGCGAGCCTGACCACCCGATCCCGTTAGTCGCCTCTTACGACAAGCATAGTCGCCTTTTACGGCAAGCATGGGTCGCTGAAGACCTATTCTACCCCGGATCTTCACAGGTTTGTTACTTAGTTACCTGCACTATTCTTAACATTTGTTTCTTGTTCATTTATTGTTTACTGCCGCCCTCCAATATTCCAGCTATATGATGGCAGTCTGTAAATAATTGAGTCTGGACTAGACAATCCAGTGATTGACATCATGAGCATCGATTTACGCAACTGGAATACAATGACATGCATCAACCAACTCAGCAAGCCTAACCTCCCCATCTTGTGAACCACCTCTCATGACAAGGTCCGCACTTAGTGACCCAACAATTGATATTCTGTGGGGGCCTGGGATTTTGTATCAAGATTAAAATTGTTTTCATCAACAGCTACAAAACCAGATATTTTTTTTTTAAATTTAAAACTCTGTTAGATCTATATGAAAAACGCATTGCAACAATTTTTGTGGCAGGCAGTTTCTATTTTTTGTTTTAAAACTGAAGCATTATTTTTGTCAAGAATTTTCAGGACAATTCTTTTTTTTCTCGATAAAATCGCATGACCTTAATGTTGATTAGTAATGGTACTCAGTTACCTACGGTAGTGTTACTCAATTACTTACATTTACTTTATCAAGGCTTACAATAGTTGTAGTGCTAAGACTACTTAACTCCTATAGTTTATCATGGCTTACAATAGTTGTAGCGCTAAGACTACTTAACTCGTATACTTCTATCATGCCTTACTATTATAGTTGTAGCACTAAGACTACTTAACTCGTATACTTTATCATGGCTTACAATAGTTGTAGCACTAAGACTACTTAACTCTTATACTTTATCATGGCTTACAATAATTGTAGAACTATGACTACTTAATTCCTTTACTTTATCATGGCTTACTATTATAGTTGTAGCACCAAGACTACTTAACTCGTACACTTCTATCATGACTTACAATAGTTGTAGCACTAAGACTACTTAACTCGTATACTTTATCATGGCTTACAATAGTTGTAGCACTGAGACTACTTAACTCGTATACTTTATCATGGCTTACAATAGTTGTAGCACTGAGACTACTTGACTCCTATACTTTATCATGGCTTACAATAGTTGTAGCGCTAAGACTACTTAACTCGTATACTTTATCATGGTTTACAATAGTTGTAGCGCTAAGACTACTTAACTCGAATACTTCTATCATGGCGTACAATAGTTGTAGCTCTAAGACTACTTAACTCCTATACTTTATCATGGCTTACAATAGTTGTAGCGCTAAGACGACTTAACTCCTATACTTTATCATGGCTTACAATAGTTGTAGCGCTAAGACTACTTAACTCGTATATTTCTATCATGCCTTACTATTATAGTTGTAGCACTAAGACTACTTAACTCGTATACTTTATCATGGCTTACAATAGTTGTAGAACTATGACTACTTAATTCCTTTACTTTATCATGGCTTACTATTATAGTTGTAGCACTAAGACTACTTAACTCGTACACTTCTATCATGGCTTACAATAGTTGTAGCACTGAGACTACTTAACTCGTATACTTTATCATGGCTTACAATAGTTGTAGCACTGAGACTACTTAACTCGTATACTTTATCATGGCTTACAATAGTTGTAGCACTGAGACTACTTGACTCCTATACTTTATCATGGCTTACAATAGTTGTAGCGCTAAGACTACTTCACTCGTATACTCTATCATGGTTTACAATAGTTGTAGCGCTAAGACTACTTAACTCGTATACTTTATCATGGTTTACAATAGTTGTAGCGCTAAGACTACTTAACTCGTATACTTCTATCATGTTTTATAATAGTTGTAGCGCTAAGACTACTTAACTCGTATACTTTATCATGGTTTACAATAGTTGTGGCACTGAGACTACTTAACTCCTATACTTCACCATGGCTTACAATAGTTGAAGCACTAAGACTACTTAACTCGTATACTTTATCATGGTTTACAATAGTTGAAGCACTAAGACTACTTAACTCGTATACTTTATCATGGCTTATAATAGTTGTAGCACTGAGACATCTTAACTCCTATACTTTATCATGGCTTACAATAGTTGTAGCGCTAAAACGATTTAACTCCTATACTTTATCATGGCTTACAATAGTTTTAGCGCTAAGACTACTTAACTCGTGTACTTCTATCATGGCTTACAATAGTTGTAGCACTAAGACTACTTAACTCCTATACTTTATCATAGCTTACAATAGTTGTAGCGCTAAAACTACTTAACTCCTATACTTCATCATGGCTTACAATAGTTTTAGCGCTAAGACTACTTAACTCGTGTACTTCTATCATGGCTTACAATAGTTGAAGCACTAAGACTACTTAACTCGTATACTTCTATCATGGCTTACAATAGTTGTAGCACTAAGACGACTTAACTCCTATACTTTATCATGGCTTACAATAGTTTTAGCGCTAAGACTACTTAACTCGTGTACTTCTATCATGGCTTACAATAGTTGTAGCACTAAGACTACTTAACTCGTATACTTCTATCATGGCTTACAATAGTTGTAGCACTAAGACGACTTAACTCGTATACTTTATCATGGCTTACAATAGCACTAAGACGACTTAACTCCTATACTTTATCATGGCTTACAATAGTTTTAGCGCTAAGACTACTTAACTCGTATACTTTTATCATGGCTTACAATAGTTGTAGCACTAAGACGACTTAACTCGTATACTTTATCATGGCTTACAATAGCACTAAGACGACTTAACTCCTATACTTTATCATGGCTTACAATAGTTGTAGCGCTAAGACTACTTAACTCGTGTACTTCTATCATGGCTTACAATAGTTGTAGCGCTAAGACTACTTAACTCGTATACTTCTATCATGGCTTACAATAGTTGTAGCACTAAGACGACTTAACTCCTATACTTTATCATGGCTTACAATAGTTTTAGCGCTAAGACTACCTAACTCGTATACTTCTATCATGGCTTACAATAGTTGTAGCACTATGACGACTTAACTCCTATACTTTATCATGGCTTACAATAGCACCAAGACTACTTTATTCCTATACTTTATCATGGCTTACAATAGCACCAAGACTACTTTATTCCTATACTTTATCATGGCTTACAATAGTCCTGGCGCTGAGACTACTGTAATTACTCCTTTAACATATTGGCCACTGGTTTGTTAGGTCCAGAGTTATATGTCTCCTCTCTGACTGCGGACAAATGACACCGACACCAATCACAGTGAAACCAAGCTTTAGTGCGTATCTGAATCTGTACAGGAATATTTTACAAATATTTACATCTTTCTACAAAAGTATACAAACAAGGTAAGTCTACTAAGCATAAAGTCCATTTAAAGGCGTGTATCACATTGGATACACCGACACAATACATATATAGAAACAATGATGTCAGATGAACACTATCCGAATGCTTGGTGTATACGCTTGTATACACCAAACACGAAATCAGCAAATACAACACCGACTTACAAAAATAGACATTCAAGTGGCTACATTTTTGTTATGTTTGTTCCCTCGACCTGTCAACTCCGGTTATACCGAAATCGGATGTAGCGAACTTTCCGATATAACGAACCCTTTTATAATCCACGAGCAGTGGCGGTAAACGTTATGGTCCCAGTTAACCCCTGTTAATCCGCACTTCCGATTCCAGTGAAATCGCACTGATTGAGAAATATCTGGATTACCGAGTTTAGATTTACGTCCCAATGATTATATACAGACATTTCACACACAAGTTGAAAGGTTGGAATTTCGGATTAACAGTCCAGTAGGGTTTGACTGCATGCCGAATTTATCTTAAAGGTTGCTGGAATTCGTTATTAAGCAGGGTTGAATGAACGCAGGGGCTGATATGATTTGACGTGATGTCTCTTTGAAAAAGGAGGCAACCAGCTGATATAATATTAAAATGATTATCCTTTTTAACAAAGCGAACCAGAATTATCCGATTCCATTATCAGTACTAGATTTGTTGCGGAGCCGAGATCCGCAACATGTTGGTGATCAGTGATTTGTTATGGAATCGGTTTAATCTGCAATGAATGGGATCATGTACGAAAATCTGGAAACAAAAATGAACGAAATGTTGGTAACAATGTAAGTCTCGAATGCGAAACACATTTCCATATACAAGGCTGACGCACATGTTTTGGTTTGACTGGTCGCATTAGAGTAAGCACGTGATCTCCATCACTCTTGTGGCTCCACGATCGAGCGTTTGTTGGAAACCAGGTCCTGTTGCCCTGGAGCTTTGTGTTGAGAAAATAATAAATATAATTTATTTGTTTCAAATTTTAGGACATGTTTTAAAAAAATATTTAATGAATTGACATGTTTTTTATCACGGTATTGTTTTAAACAATGATCAGTTAAGTGTGTTTTGTCAAGGTAATGAGGCAACGAGCTGGTTATGCGTCACTCAGTATTGTTATCATTCGCCATGGTCACACATATAAGTTTAGTGTTCACACATGTTCACTGTTAATTGTTCACACATGTTCACTACAAAAAAGAAACAATTTTTACTGTAAGACAATGTACAAGGTAACAACATAATTGGAACATCAGTGTATTAATCTATATTACGTCACCGGATAGTTTTGTAATATATGGTATTATGTGCCATTGGTCATCGATGCCTTTTAAAAAAAACACGCGTTAAGGGCTGGTCTTTGAGACAGCTTTTCAAATAACAAGATAATTTCTCACGTTTCACTGTTAATATGGCAAGTCATGAGATCCAACATGGAGATAATTACACATTTTAAAACTGTTACACAAAATGTCATATTTCAAGCACATGTCGTCTATTAAATGACAATTGACACATATTGTATCTGAAATTGCCTTACAAAATAAAAAAACAATTCACAAAAAAGATACTACAGGCAGTGATAAAAAAACAGTGTCGGGGGCGATTGGTAACTCCAAAATCGTTAACGCTATACGAAACAACTCCTTATTATGAGGATAAACAAACTTTAGAAATACCTCGAACTGACATTCTTCAGTTGATAATCAGGTTTTCACATGTTCAAATAATGCACGTGCATATCGTGTTGTTTCCGTCCTATTTTCCAAATGAAACAATTTTAATGGTTGGTTCAATTAACACAAACACAATTTCTAAACGCGATTTTCTAAAGTTTGTTTACCGGTAGATCTTTATATTTTGAAATATATTATCATACCTATGAAGTGTAAATTGAATACATTACGAATTTGGATGCTTCACGTAACACATATCACATCGTCGGATACTCTTTACATCATCCGTACGTGTTTAGACCATCAATAATACATCTGGTATTATTCAGTAAATTCACACAAAACACCATGATGTTCTGTCAGGACTCGTCAAAACAGTATCCGTGTGGTACATATACTACATCAGATTACCTCATTTGATTTTTAAACCGTATTTCTCCACACCAAAATTAAATAAAATATAATAAAATCAATCAAAATAAAAGAATAGTTTTCAAACCTTTCCAAAACAGGTAACTAAGATACAGTTTTGAAGAACAAAAGTAATCTGAAATGTCCTTTTTTCATATATAAACTGTATCACCTTCCGACCAGGAATTTTCACACGAACGTCATAAACAGCAACGAACGTTCCAGCAAAAGGATGCATTTAAGATGACGAGTCTGACTGCATGTATCTTCTGAAATGTTGGATGTAAAGTTCCACGTACACATTGGTGATGACTCGCTACCTCTACATGATAACAATGAAACTATACATCTAAGTAGAGATCATTCCATGTCACACAGCTGAGTCACGTGATGGGTTTTATGTTATGGCGTTTTCATTGAACAGATAAAAAATATCAATTTCTCCATCAGCCCACCTAAACAATATATTTCTTTGCAAAACTCCAATAATGTGTAAAATAATTGGAATAGTAATTATAATACTGTTTGTAGTAATTTGCTAGATAAAGATAATAATTATACACTTTAAGTTTTACATGGACAACCTGCCTGCTGAGTGCTTTACGCCCATAATCATAAGCCTGTCGTATATTTTTGTATGCTAAACTCAATTTTCTGTGTATCAGTTGTCTGCCTTTTTGGTAAGGCGTGTAAACCACTTTCACAGCCCCGTTGACACACTTACGCCAAAGGTGGGCCAGTTTTATCAATGTTCTTCTCAACAAGGCTCTACACCTCAAATACGACTGTCGAAGTGCAATTCTGCCAACGTTGTAAACATTTTTCACCATTCTATAAACCGTTAGTCTTACAGTAGGCATACTCTTATTTGAACTCCTTCTACTGCCTGTCCCCCTGTTGCCGTTGCCGTTGCCGTTGCCGTTGCCGTTGCCGTTCCGGTTGTTCCTTATCACAGTTCTTCTGCTGTAGTTGCCGTTTCTGCGATGCATAATGATTGTGCCATTTCTGCTAATAAATGGCTTCGTTTGTGTGTGGCGGCCAAACTTACGGCGAAGTCTGACCGTGATTCCCCCAATGCTTGGCTTGGTGTACTTCCTGGTTGTCGTGGAACGTGTGGGAGTTGTGGGACTGATCTTGGTATTGTAATCCGTTAATCTCTTCGTGTGTCTATTCCTTGACACCATGATGGTAATGAAGAAAGGTGCTTTCATTGTTGTCACCGTAGATGCTTCGAGAGGCTCTTCTGTTTTCTTGATTACACTCTGTTGTGATGTAGAGGCTGTTTCGGCATCCGTCGTTGTCGATGGAGCTGTGGGTTCTGCAGAAAACAGCCAGGATGTAAATGCGCCAACTATACTGCCCTCTGTTGTTTCATCCTGTACAGTAGTGGCTGTCGTGGCTGTTGTAGTTGTGGCGCTTCTTCCTTGAGAAGACGCTGACGTTGGTTGGGACGCTGACGTTGGTTGGGGTGTGGCTGTAGGGGACTTTGTTTCCTCATCTGGAGAGAGAGTTGTCATAGTGTCATATAACCAGGTCATGACAGACTCCATATCGGTACTTAGCGTATTGGTTGTGGCTTCACTGCTTCTTGTTTTGGTCTGAATGTCACTGACAGAAGCCTTTGGTTGTTCAGTAAAACTTTGAGAAGTAGCTTCACTCTGTACATTCCTTTCATCCGGTTCATACCTTGACGTCGCTGTTGTGGATCGCGGGGTTGCACTATGTTCCTTTGCTGATGGCAGTGAGGTCTGGCCTTCACTAACCATGGCATTGGTGTAGAACTCAGATGTATGGTCATCCTTGTTTGTCGTCATTTCTGAAGTCATCGTGGGGAATGTAACATGCCTCGAGGATCCACTATGTGTTGGCTCTTTTGGTTCAGATGTGAAGAGTGACATCCATTTGTCTGTAGTGTCACCTGATTCTCCACTGAACGACTCATTACCTATAAAGTCAGTGGTATCACGTGTTGTACTATCAACATGTTTCACTGGCATGGCTGTTGTGCGTGTGCCAGATGTCAAACTGTCTGTGGTATCGTCAGATGTCCATTTGATTGTGGAATCGCCGGATGTCCATTTCTCTGTCACAGCATCAGGTGTCAGCCTGTCTGTGGTATCACCAGACGCCCATTTCTCTGTCACAGCATCAGGTGTCAATTTATCTGTGGTATCACCAGACGCCCATTTCTCTGTCACAGCATCAGGTGTCAGTGTATCTGTGGTATCACCAGACCCAAATTTCTCTGTCACAGCATCAGGTGTCAGTTTATCTGTGGTATCACCAGACCCAAATTTCTCTGTCACAGCATCAGGTGTCAGTTTATCTGTGGTATCACCAGATGTCCATTTCTCTGTCACAGCATCAGGTGTCAGTTTATCTGTGGTATCACCAGACGCCCATTTCTCTGTCACAGCATCAGGTGTCAGTTTATTTGTGGTATCACCAGACGCCCATTTCTCTGTCACAGCATCAGGTGTCAGTGTATCTGTGGTATCACCAGACGCCCATTTCTCTGTCACAGCATCAGGTGTCAGTTTATCTGTGGTATCACCAGACGCCCATTTCTCTGTCACAGCATCAGGTGTCAGTTTATCTGTGGTATCACCAGACCCCCATTTCTCTGTCACAGCATCAGGTGTCAGTGTATCTGTGGTATCACCAGACGCCCATTTTTCTGTCACAGCATCAGGTGTCAGTTTATCTGTGGTATCACCAGACCCCCATTTCTCTGTCACAGCATCAGGTGTCAGTTTATTTGTGGTATCACCAGACGCCCATTTCTCTGTCACAGCATCAGGTGTCAGTGTATCAGTGGTATCACCAGACGCCCATTTCTCTGTCACAGCATCAGGTGTCAATGTATCTGTGGTATCACCAGACGCCCATTTCTCTGTCACAGCATCAGGTGTCAGTGTATCTGTGGTATCACCAGACGCCCATTTCTCTGTCACAGCATCAGGTGTCAATGTATCTGTGGTATCACCAGACGCCCATTTCTCTGTCACAGCATCAGGTGTCAGCCTGTCTGTGGTATCACCAGACGCCCATTTCTCTGTCACAGCATCAGGTGTCAGTTTATCTGTGGTATCACCAGACGCCCATTTCTCTGTCACAGCATCAGGTGTCAGCCTGTCTGTGGTATCACCAGACGCCAATTTCTCTGTCACAGCATCAGGTGTCAGTTTATCTGTGGTATCACCAGACGCCCATTTCTCTGTCACAGCATCAGGTGTCAGTTTATCTGTGGTATCACCAGACGCCCATTTCTCTGTCACAGCATCAGGTGTCAGTTTATCTGTGGTATCACCAGACGCCCATTTCTCTGTCACAGCATCAGGTGTCAATTTATCTGTGGTATCACCAGACGCCCATTTCTCTGTCACAGCATCAGGTGTCAGTTTATCTGTGGTATCACCAGACGCCCATTTCTCTGTCACAGCATCAGGTGTAAGTGTATCTGTGGTATCACCAGACGCCCATTTCTCTGTCACAGCATCAGGTGTCAATTTATCTGTGGTATCACCAGACGCCCATTTCTCTGTCACAGCATCAGGTATCCGTTTATCTGTGGTATCACCAGACGCCCATTTCTCTGTCACAGTATCTGGTATCAGTATATCTGTGATATCACTGGATGTCCATTTCTCTGTCACAGCAGTTATCGTATAACCTGAATCCAAAATGTTATCAACACCCATTGTTGTTGAATCATAAGTTCTTCTCGTGTGGGATGTCACTGGATCCTGTGTACTACTAAACTTGTCTTCCCATTCCTTTCTTTCCCACAATTTTGTTCGTTTCTCTGGATGTTCAGTAGTTGCATCCGGAATGGTACTTCTTGCCACAGCAACTGTGCTAACAAGCTCTTGTGTGACAGTTGTTGATGTGTCATCGCTGGAAGGTGTGGCAGTGTCACTCATACCACTTGTTTCATACTTGGTCGTTCCGCTGGAAACTTCATCTTCCGGCGTTGGACTTGTTCCCAGAGGAATTATCCCGATAGGTTCCTGTGTGATTGAATTAATTATTTCATCACCAGATGAAGTAAGGGGTACCTCTGTAAAGTCAACGGCACTCTCAGTTGATATTTTGTTTTTGTTAGTGAAAGTAGTTATATCACTAATGCCACTGGTTCCGTGTTCTGTAGTTATACTGGATACTTTGTCACTAGGAGCAATTGTCACAGGTGATAAGGTGACATTATCATGTTTTGAGGTAAACCAAGATGTAGAAAGGCCATGAGGTATCGTCGATTCAGTGACATCTTTACCATCAGTAACAAGCCTATATTGTCCATCAATGTCTGGAGAATAGCTCTTTTCATCTACTGAAAACACCAAGCTGTCCGTTGTATTTTGAGGCAGTATTCCTGCCGTCACTGGACTTGTTGTTTCTGGTGTTGCACCACTTGAAGTCTCTCCTCCTGAAAATGTTATCATTTCCTCGGTTATTGCTGATTCCTCATCGGGTAGTGTTGCAGTTTGGACAGTGTCTGTGGTCACGGTTGGAATGGACAGGCTTTCGTCTACAGCTGTCGTTTGTTCTCCCGAAAACATCAGCATTTTCTCTGTCACACCTGATCCTTCATCTCCTGAAGTTGTCATTTCTCCTGCCTGGGAGGTAGATATTGTGGCAGGACTAGTAGTCTCCGTTGTTGTTGTGCTTCCCGTTTCATCTCCTGAGGCTGTAAACATATCTTCAGTTATGCCGGAGAAGTCTTCAGTCACTGTTTGTTTGTCGTCTGGTGCAAAAGTGGTGACAGTCACTGGACTTGTTGTTTCTGGTGTTGCACCACTTGAAGTCTCTTCTCCTGAAGATGTTATCATTTCCTCTGTTATTGCTGATCCCTCATCGGGTAGTGTTGCAGTTTGGACAGTGTCTGTGGTCACGGTTGGAATGGACAGGCTTTCGTCTACAGCTGTCGTTTGTTCTCCCGAAAACGTCAGCATTTCCTCTGTCACACCTGATCCTTCATCTCCTGAAGTTGTCATTTCTTCTGCCTGGGAGGTAGACATTGTAGCAGGACTAGTAGTCTCTGCCGTTGTTGTGCTTCCCGTTTCATCTCCTGAGGCTGTAAACATATCTTCAGTTATGCTGGAGAAGTCTTCAGTCACTGTTTGTTTGTCGTGTGGTGCAAAAGTGGTAACAGTCACTGGACTTGTTGTTTCTGGTGTTGCACCACTTGAAGTCTCTTCTCCTGAAGATGTTATCATTTCCTCGGTTATTGCCGATCCCTCATCGGGTAGTGTTGCAGTTTGGACAGTGTCTGTGGTCACGGTTGGAATGGACAGGCTTTCGTCTACAGCTGTCGTTTGTTCTCCCGAAAACGTCAGCATTTTCTCTGTCACACCTGATCCTTCATCTCCTGAACTTGTCATTTCTCCTGCCTGGGAGGTAGATATTGTGGCAGGACTAGTAGTCTCCGCTGTTGTTGTGCTTCCCGTTTCATCTCCTGAGGCTGTAAACATATCTTCAGTTATGCCGGAGAAGTCTTCAGTCACTGTTTGTTTGTCGTCTGGTGCTAGAGTGGTGACAGTCACTGGACTTGTTGTTTCTGGTGTTGCACCACTTGAAGTCTCTTCTCCTGAAGATGTTATCATTTCCTCTGTTATTGCTGATCCATCATCGGGTAGTGTTGCAGTTTGGACAGTGTCTGTGGTCACGGTTGGAATGGACAGGCTTTTGTCTACAGCTGTCGTTTGTTCTCCCGAAAACGTCAGCATTTCCTCTGTCACACCTGATCCTTCATCTCCTGAAGTTGTCATTTCTTCTGCCTGGGAGGTAGACATTGTAGCAGGACTAGTAGTCTCTGCCGTTGTTGTGCTTCCCGTTTCATCTCCTGAGGCTGTAAACATATCTTCAGTTATGCCGGAGAAGTCTTCAGTCACTGTTTGTTTGTCGTCTGGTGCAAAAGTGGTGACAGTCACAGGACTTGTTGTTTCTGGTGTTGCACCACTTGAAGTCTCTTCTCCTGAAGATGTTATCATTTCCTCGGTTATTGCCGATCCCTCATCGGGTAGTGTTGCAGTTTGGACAGTGTCTGTGGTCACGGTTGGAATGGACAGGCTTTCGTCTACAGCTGTCGTTTGTTCTCCCGAAAACGTCAGCATTTTCTCTGTCACACCTGATCCTTCATCTCCTGAACTTGTCATTTCTCCTGCCTGGGCGGTAGACATTGTTTCAGGACTAGTAGTCTCTGCTGTTGTTGTGCTTCCCGTTTCATCTCCTGAGGCTGTAAACATATCTTCAGTTATGCCGGAGAAGTCTTCAGTCACTGTTTGTTTGTCGTGTGGTGCAAAAGTGGTGACAGTCACTGGACTTGTTGTTTCTGGTGTTGCACCACTTGAAGTCTCTTCTCCTGAAGATGTTATCATTTCCTCTGTTATTGCTGATCCCTCATCGGGTAGTGTTGCAGTTTGGACAGTGTCTGTGGTCACGGTTGGAATGGACAGGCTTTTGTCTACAGCTGTCGTTTGTTCTCCCGAAAACGTCAGCATTTCCTCTGTCACACCTGATCCTTCATCTCCTGAACTTGTCATTTCTTCTGCCTGGGAGGTAGATATTGTGGCAGGACTAGTAGTCTCTGCTGTTGTTGTGCTTCCCGTTTCATCTCCTGAGGCTGTAAACATATCTTCAGTTATGCCGGAGAAGTCTTCAGTCACTGTTTGTTTGTCGTGTGGTGCAAAAGTGGTGACAGTCACTGGACTTGTTGTTTCTGGTGTTGCACCACTTGAAGTCTCTTCTCCTGAAGATGTTATTATTTCCTCGGTTATTGCTGATCCCTCATCGGGTAGTGCTGCAGTTTGGACAGTGTCTGTGGTCACGGTTGGAATGGACAGGCTTTCGTCTACAACTGTCGTTTGTTCTCCCGAAAACGTCAGCATTTCCTCTGTCACACCTGATCCTTCATCTCCTGAACTTGTCATTTCTCCTGCCTGGGCGGTAGACATTGTTTCAGGACTAGTAGTCTCTGCTGTTGTTGTGCTTCCCGTTTCATCTCCTGAGGCTGTAAACATATCTTCAGTTATGCCGGAGAAGTCTTCAGTCACTGTTTGTTTGTCGTGTGGTGCAAAAGTGGTGACAGTCACTGGACTTGTTGTTTCTGGTGTTGCACCACTTGAAGTCTCTTCTCCTGAAGATGTTATCATTTCCTCGGTTATTGCTGATCCCTCATCGGGTAGTGCTGCAGTTTGGACAGTGTCTGTGGTCACGGTTGGAATGGACAGGCTTTCGTCTGCAGCTGTCGTTTGTTCTCCCGAAAACGTCAGCATTTCCTCTGTCACACCTGATCCTTCATCTCCTGAACTTGTCATTTCTCCTGCCTGGGCGGTAGACATTGTTTCAGGACTATTAGTCTCTGCTGTTGTTGTGCTTCCCGTTTCATCTCCTGAGGCTGTAAACATATCTTCAGTTATGCCGGAGAAGTCTTCAGTCACTGTTTGTTTGTCGTGTGGTGCAAAAGTGGTGACAGTCACTGGACTTGTTGTTTCTGGTGTTGCACCACTTGAAGTCTCTTCTCCTGAAGATGTTATCATTTCCTCTGTTATTGCTGATCCCTCATCGGGTAGTGTTGCAGTTTGGACAGTGTCTGTGGTAACGGTTGGAATGGATTGGCTTTCGTCTGCAGCTGTCGTTTGTTCTCCCGAAAACGTCAGCATTTCCTCTGTCACACCTGATCCTTCATCTCCTGAACTTGTCATTTCCTCTGCCTGGGAGGTAGACATTGTTTCAGGACTAGTAGTCTCTGCTGTTGTTGTGCTTCCCGGTTCATCTCCTGAGGCTGTAAACATATCTTCAGTTATGCCGGAGAAGTCTTCAGTCACTGTTTGTTTGTCGTCTGGTGCAAAAGTGGTGACAGTCACTGGACTTGTTGTTTCTGGTGTTGCACCACTTGAAGTCTCTTCTCCTGAAGATGTTATCATTTCCTCGGTTATTGCTGATCCATCATCGGGTAGTGTTGCAGTTTGGACAGTGTCTGTGGTCACGGTTGGAATGGACAGGCTTTCGTCTACAGCAGTTGTTTGTTCTCCCGAAAACGTCAGCATTTCCTCTGTCACACCTGATCCTTCATCTCCTGAACTTGTCATTTCTTCTGCCTGGGAGGTAGACATTGTAACAGGACTATTAGTCTCTGCTGTTGTTGTGCTTCCCGTTTCATCTCCTGAGGCTGTAAACATATCTTCAGTTATGCCGGAGAAGTCTTCAGTCACTGTTTGTTTGTCGTCTGGTGCAAAAGTGGTGACAGTCACTGGACTTGTTGTTTCTGGTGTTGCACCACTTGAAGTCTCTTCTCCTGAAGATGTTATCATTTCCTCGGTTATTGCTGATCGCTCATCGGGTAGTGTTGCAGTTTGGACAGTGTCTGTGGTCACGGTTGGAATGGACAGGCTTTCGTCTGCAGCTGTTGTTTGTTCTCCCGAAAACGTCAGCATTTCCTCTGTCACACCTGATCCTTCATCTCCTGAACTTGTCATTTCCTCTGCCTGGGAGGTAGACATTGTTTCAGGACTAGTAGTCTCTGCTGTTGTTGTGCTTCCCGTTTCATCTCCTGAGGCTGTAAACATATCTTCAGTTATGCCGGAGAAGTCTTCAGTCACTGTTTGTTTGTCGTCTGGTGCTAGAGTGGTGACAGTCACTGGACTTGTTGTTTCTGGTGTTGCACCACTTGAAGTCTCTTCTCCTGAAGATGTTATCATTTCCTCTGTTATTGCTGATCCCTCATCGGCTTGTGTTGCAGTTTGGACAGTGTCTGTGGTCACGGTTGGAATGGACAGGCTTTCGTCTACAACTGTCGTTTGTTCTCCCGAAAACGTCAGCATTTCCTCTGTCACACCTGATCCTTCATCTCCTGAACTTGTCATTTCTCCTGCCTGGGCGGTAGACATTGTTTCAGGACTATTAGTCTCTGCTGTTGTTGTGCTTCCCGTTTCATCTCCTGAGGCTGTAAACATATCTTCAGTTATGCCGGAGAAGTCTTCAGTCACTGTTTGTTTGTCGTGTGGTGCAAAAGTGGTGACAGTCACTGGACTTGTTGTTTCTGGTGTTGCACCACTTGAAGTCTCTTCTCCTGAAGATGTTATCATTTCCTCTGTTATTGCTGATCCCTCATCGGGTAGTGTTGCAGTTTGGACAGTGTCTGTGGTAACGGTTGGAATGGATTGGCTTTCGTCTGCAGCTGTCGTTTGTTCTCCCGAAAACGTCAGCATTTCCTCTGTCACACCTGATCCTTCATCTCCTGAACTTGTCATTTCTCCTGCCTGGGAGGTAGACATTGTAGCAGGACTAGTAGTCTCTGCTGTTGTTGTGCTTCCCGTTTCATCTCCTGAGGCTGTAAACATATCTTCAGTTATGCCGGAGAAGTCTTCAGTCACTGTTTGTTTGTCGTCTGGTGCAAAAGTGGTGACAGTCACTGGACTTGTTGTTTCTGGTGTTGCACCACTTGAAGTCTCTTCTCCTGAAGATGTTATCATTTCCTCGGTTATTGCTGATCCATCATCGGGTAGTGTTGCAGTTTGGACAGTGTCTGTGGTCACGGTTGGAATGGACAGGCTTTCGTCTACAGCAGTTGTTTGTTCTCCCGAAAACGTCAGCATTTCCTCTGTCACACCTGATCCTTCATCTCCTGAACTTGTCATTTCTTCTGCCTGGGAGGTAGACATTGTAACAGGACTATTAGTCTCTGCTGTTGTTGTGCTTCCCGTTTCATCTCCTGAGGCTGTAAACATATCTTCAGTTATGCCGGAGAAGTCTTCAGTCACTGTTTGTTTGTCGTGTGGTGCAAAAGTGGTGACAGTCACTGGACTTGTTGTTTCTGGTGTTGCACCACTTGAAGTCTCTTCTCCTGAAGATGTTATCATTTCCTCGGTTATTGCTGATCGCTCATCGGGTAGTGTTGCAGTTTGGACAGTGTCTGTGGTCACGGTTGGAATGGACAGGCTTTCGTCTGCAGCTGTTGTTTGTTCTCCCGAAAACGTCAGCATTTCCTCTGTCACACCTGATCCTTCATCTCCTGAACTTGTCATTTCCTCTGCCTGGGAGGTAGACATTGGAGCAGGACTAGTAGTCTCTGCTGTTGTTGTGCTTCCCGTTTCATCTCCTGAGGCTGTAAACATATCTTCAGTTATGCCGGAGAAGTCTTCAGTCACTGTTTGTTTGTCGTCTGGTGCTAGAGTGGTGACAGTCACTGGACTTGTTGTTTCTGGTGTTGCACCACTTGAAGTCTCTTCTCCTGAAGATGTTATCATTTCCTCTGTTATTGCTGATCCCTCATCGGCTTGTGTTGCAGTTTGGACAGTGTCTGTGGTCACGGTTGGAATGGACAGGCTTTCCTCTGCAGCTGTCGTTTGTTCTCCCGAAAACGTCAGCATTTCCTCTGTCACACCTGATCCTTCATCTCCTGAAGTTGTCATTTCTCCTGCCTGGGCGGTAGACATTGTAGCAGGACTAGTAGTCTCTGCTGTTGTTGTGCTTCCCGTTTCATCTCCTGAGGCTGTAAACATATCTTCAGTTATGCCGGAGAAGTCTTCAGTCACTGTTTGTTTGTCGTCTGGTGCTAGAGTGGTGACCGTCACTGGACTTGTTGTTTCTGGTGTTGCACCACTTGAAGTCTCTTCTCCTGAAGATGTTATCATTTCCTCGGTTATTGCTGATCCCTCATCGGGTAGTGTTGCAGTTTGGACAGTGTCTGTGGTCACGGTTGGAATGGACAGGCTTTCCTCTACAGCTGTCGTTTGTTCTCCCGAAAACGTCAGCATTTCCTCTGTCACACCTGATCCTTCATCTCCTGAACTTGTCATTTCTTCTGCCTGGGAGGTAGACATTGTAGCAGGACTAGTAGTCTCTGCTGTTGTTGTGCTTCCCGTTTCATCTCCTGAGGCTGTAAACATATCTTCAGTTATGCCGGAGAAGTCTTCAGTCACTGTTTGTTTGTCGTGTGGTGCAAAAGTGGTGACAGTCACTGGACTTGTTGTTTCTGGTGTTGCACCACTTGAAGTCTCTTCTCCTGAAGATGTTATCATTTCCCCGGTTACTGCTGATCCCTCATCGGGTAGTGTTGCAGTTTGGACAGTGTCTGTGGTCACGGTTGGAATGGACAGGCTTTCGTCTGCAGCTGTTGTTTGTCCTCCCGAAAACGTCAGCATTTCCTCTGTCACACCTGATCCTTCATCTCCTGAACTTGTCATTTCTTCTGCCTGGGAGGTAGACATTGTAGCAGGACTAGTAGTCTCTGCTGTTGTTGTGCTTCCCGTTTCATCTCCTGAGGCTGTAAACATATCTTCAGTTATGCCGGAGAAGTCTTCAGTCACTGTTTGTTTGTCGTCTGGTGCTAGAGTGGTGACAATCACTGGACTTGTTGTTTCTGGTGTTGCACCACTTGAAGTCTCTTCTCCTGAAGATGTTATCATTTCCTCTGTTATTGCTGATCCCTCATCGGGTAGTGCTGCAGTTTGGAAAGTGTCTGTGGTCACGGTTGGAATGGACAGGCTTTCGTCTACAGCTGTCGTTTGTTCTCCCGAAAACGTCAGCATTTCCTCTGTCACACCTGATCCTTCATCTCCTGAACTTGTCATTTCTCCTGCCTGGGCGGTAGACATTGTGGCAGGACTATTAGTCTCTGCTGTTGTTGTGCTTCCCGTTTCATCTCCTGAGGCTGTAAACATATCTTCAGTTATGCCGGAGAAGTCTTCAGTCACTGTTTGTTTGTCGTGTGGTGCAAAAGTGGTGACAGTCACTGGACTTGTTGTTTCTGGTGTTGCACCACTTGAAGTCTCTTCTCCTGACGATGTTATCATTTCCTCGGTTACTGCTGATCCCTCATCGGGTAGTGTTGCAGTTTGGACAGTGTCTGTGGTCACGGTTGGAATGGACAGGCTTTCGTCTGCAGCTGTTGTTTGTCCTCCCGAAAACGTCACCATTTCCTCTGTCACACCTGATCCTTCATCTCCTGAACTTGTCATTTCTTCTGCCTGGGAGGTAGACATTGTAGCAGGACTAGTAGTCTCTGCTGTTGTTGTGCTTCCCGTTTCATCTCCTGAGGCTGTAAACATATCTTCAGTTATGCCGGAGAAGTCTTCAGTCACTGTTTGTTTGTCGTCTGGTGCTAGAGTGGTGACAGTCACTGGACTTGTTGTTTCTGGTGTTGCACCACTTGAAGTCTCTTCTCCTGAAGATGTTATCATTTCCTCTGTTATTGCTGATCCCTCATCGGGTAGTGCTGCAGTTTGGACAGTGTCTGTGGTCACGGTTGGAATGGACAGGCTTTTGTCTACAGCTGTCGTTTGTTCTCCCGAAAACGTCAGCATTTCCTCTGTCACACCTGATCCTTCATCTCCTGAACTTGTCATTTCTCCTGCCTGGGCGGTAGACATTGTTTCAGGACTAGTAGTCTCTGCTGTTGTTGTGCTTCCCGTTTCATCTCCTGAGGCTGTAAACATATCTTCAGTTATGCCGGAGAAGTCTTCAGTCACTGTTTGTTTGTCGTGTGGTGCAAAAGTGGTGACAGTCACTGGACTTGTTGTTTCTGGTGTTGCACCACTTGAAGTCTCTTCTCCTGACGATGTTATCATTTCCTCGGTTACTGCTGATCCCTCATCGGGTAGTGTTGCAGTTTGGACAGTGTCTGTGGTCACGGTTGGAATGGACAGGCTTTCGTCTGCAGCTGTTGTTTGTCCTCCCGAAAACGTCAGCATTTCCTCTGTCACACCTGATCCTTCATCTCCTGAACTTGTCATTTCTCCTGCCTGGGAGGTAAACATTGTGGCAGGACTAGTAATCTCTGCTGTTGTTGTGCTTCCCGTTTCATCTCCTGAGGCTGTAAACATATCTTCAGTTATGCCGGAGAAGTCTTCAGTCACTGTTTGTTTGTCGTCTGGTGCTAGAGTGGTGACAGTCACTGGACTTGTTGTTTCTGGTGTTGCACCACTTGAAGTCTCTTCTCCTGAAGATGTTATCATTTCCTCTGTTATTGCTGATCCCTCATCGGGTAGTGCTGCAGTTTGGACAGTGTCTGTGGTCACGGTGGGAATGGACAGGCTTTCGTCTACAGCTGTCGTTTGTTCTCCCGAAAACGTCAGCATTTCCTCTGTCACACCTGATCCTTCATCTCCTGAACTTGTCATTTCTCCTGCCTGGGCGGTAGACATTTTTTCAGGACTAGTAGTCTCTGCTGTTGTTGTGCTTCCCGTTTCATCCCCTGAGGCTGTAAACATATCTTCAGTTATGCCGGAGAAGTCTTCAGTCACTGTTTGTTTGTCGTGTGGTGCAAAAGAGGTGACAGTCACTGGACTTGTTGTTTCTGGTGTTGCACCACTTGAAGTCTCTTCTCCTGAAGATGTTTTCATTTCCTCGGTTACTGCTGATCCCTCATCGGGTAGTGTTGCAGTTTGGACAGTGTCTGTGGTCACGGTTGGAATGGACAGGCTTTCGTCTGCAGCTGTTGTTTGTCCTCCCGAAAACGTCAGCATTTCCTCTGTCACACCTGATCCTTCATCTCCTGAACTTGTCATTTCTCCTGCCTGGGAGGTAAACATTGTGGCAGGACTAGTAGTCTCTGCTGTTGTTGTGCTTCCCGTTTCATCTCCTGAGGCTGTAAACATATCTTCAGTTATGCCGGAGAAGTCTTCAGTCACTGTTTGTTTGTCGTCTGGTGCTAGAGTGGTGACAGTCACTGGACTTGTTGTTTCTGGTGTTGCACCACTTGAAGTCTCTTCTCCTGAAGATGTTATCATTTCCTCTGTTATTGCTGATCCCTCATCGGGTAGTGTTGCAGTTTGGACAGTGTCTGTGGTCACGGTTGGAATGGACAGGCTTTCGTCTACAGCTGTCGTTTGTTCTCCCGAAAACGTCAGCATTTCCTCTGTCACACCTGATCCTTCATCTCCTGAACTTGTCATTTCTCCTGCCATGGCGGTAGACACTGTGGCAGGACTAGTAGTCTCTGCTGTTTTTGTGCTTCCCGTTTCATCTCCTGAGGCTGTAAACATATCTTCAGTTATGCCGGAGAAGTCTTCAGTCACTGTTTGTTTGTCGTGTGGTGCAAAAGTGGTGACAGTTACTGGACTTGTTGTTTCTGGTGTTGCACCACTTGAAGTCTCTTCTCCTGAAGATGTTTTCATTTCCTCGGTTACTGCTGATCCCTCATCGGGTAGTGTTGCAGTTTGGACAGTGTCTGTGGTCACGGTTGGAATGGACAGGCTTTCGTCTACAGCTGTCGTTTGTTCTCCCGAAAACGTCAGCATTTCCTCTGTCACACCTGATCCTTCATCTTCTGAACTTGTCATTTCTCCTGCCTGGGCGGTAGACACTGTGGCAGGACTAGTAGTCTCTGCTGTTGTTGTGCTTCCCGTTTCATCTCCTGAGGCTGTAAACATATCTTCAGTTATGCCGGAGAAGTCTTCAGTCACTGTTTGTTTGTCGTGTGGTGCAAAACTGGTGACAGTCACTGGACTTGTTGTTTCTGGTGTTGCACCACTTGAAGTACCTTCTCCTGAAGATGTTATCATTTCCTCGGTTATTGCTGATCCCTCATCGGGTAGTGTTGCAGTTTGGACAGTGTCTGTGGTCACGGTTGGAATGGACAGGCTTTCGTCTGCAGCTGTTGTTTGTTCTCCCGAAAACGTCAGCATTTCCTCTGTCACACCTGATCCTTCATCTCCTGAAGTTGTCATTTCTTCTGCCTGGGAGGTAGACATTGTAGCAGGACTAGTAGTCTCTGCAGTTGTTGTGCTTCCCGTTTCATCTCCTGAGGCTGTAAACATATTTTCAGTTATGCCGGAGAAGTCTTCAGTCACTGTTTGTTTGTCGTCTGGTGCAAAAGTGGTGACAGTCACTGGACTTGTTGTTTCTGGTGTTGCACCACTTGAAGTCTCTTCTCCTGAAGATGTTATCATTTCCTCGGTTATTGCTGATCCCTCATCGGGTAGTGTTGCAGTTTGGACAGTGTCTGTGGTCACGGTTGGAATGGACAGGCTTTCGTCTACAGCTGTCGTTTGTTCTCCCGAAAACGTCAGCATTTCCTCTGTCACACCTGATCCTTCATCTCCTGAACTTGTCATTTCTCCTGCCTGGGCGGTAGACATTGTTTCAGGACTAGTAGTCTCTGATGTTGTTGTGCTTCCCGTTTCATCTCCTGAGGCTGTAAACATATCTTCAGTTATGCCGGAGAAGTCTTCAGTCACTGTTTGTTTGTCGTGTGGTGCAAAAGTGGTGACAGTCACTGGACTTGTTGTTTCTGGTGTTGCACCACTTGAAGTCTCTTCTCCTGAAGATGTTATCATTTCCTCGGTTACTGCTGATCGCTCATCGGGTAGTGTTGCAGTTTGGACAGTGTCTGTGGTCACGGTTGGAATGGACAGGCTTTCGTCTGCAGCTGTTGTTTGTTCTCCCGAAAACGTCAGCATTTCCTCTGTCACACCTGATCCTTCATCTCCTGAACTTGTCATTTCTCCTGCCTGGGAGGTAAACATTGTGGCAAGACTAGTAGTCTCTGCTGTTGTTGTGCTTCCCGTTTCATCTCCTGAGGCTGTAAACATATCTTCAGTTATGCCGGAGAAGTCTTCAGTCACTGTTTGTTTGTCGTCTGGTGCTAGAGTGGTGACAGTCACTGGACTTGTTGTTTCTGGTGTTGCACCACTTGAAGTCTCTTCTCCTGAAGATGTTATCATTTCCTCTGTTATTGCTGATCCCTCATCGGGTAGTGTTGCAGTTTGGACAGTGTCTGTGGTCACGGTTGGAATGGACAGGCTTTCGTCTACAGCTGTCGTTTGTTCTCCCGAAAACGTCAGCATTTCCTCTGTCACACCTGATCCTTCATCTCCTGAACTTGTCATTTCTCCTGCCATGGCGGTAGACACTGTGGCAGGACTAGTAGTCTCTGCTGTTTTTGTGCTTCCCGTTTCATCTCCTGAGGCTGTAAACATATCTTCAGTTATGCCGGAGAAGTCTTCAGTCACTGTTTGTTTGTCGTGTGGTGCAAAAGTGGTGACAGTTACTGGACTTGTTGTTTCTGGTGTTGCACCACTTGAAGTCTCTTCTCCTGAAGATGTTTTCATTTCCTCGGTTACTGCTGATCCCTCATCGGGTAGTGTTGCAGTTTGGACAGTGTCTGTGGTCACGGTTGGAATGGACAGGCTTTCGTCTACAGCTGTCGTTTGTTCTCCCGAAAACGTCAGCATTTCCTCTGTCACACCTGATCCTTCATCTTCTGAACTTGTCATTTCTCCTGCCTGGGCGGTAGACACTGTGGCAGGACTAGTAGTCTCTGCTGTTGTTGTGCTTCCCGTTTCATCTCCTGAGGCTGTAAACATATCTTCAGTTATGCCGGAGAAGTCTTCAGTCACTGTTTGTTTGTCGTGTGGTGCAAAACTGGTGACAGTCACTGGACTTGTTGTTTCTGGTGTTGCACCACTTGAAGTACCTTCTCCTGAAGATGTTATCATTTCCTCGGTTATTGCTGATCCCTCATCGGGTAGTGTTGCAGTTTGGACAGTGTCTGTGGTCACGGTTGGAATGGACAGGCTTTCGTCTGCAGCTGTTGTTTGTTCTCCCGAAAACGTCAGCATTTCCTCTGTCACACCTGATCCTTCATCTCCTGAAGTTGTCATTTCTTCTGCCTGGGAGGTAGACATTGTAGCAGGACTAGTAGTCTCTGCAGTTGTTGTGCTTCCCGTTTCATCTCCTGAGGCTGTAAACATATTTTCAGTTATGCCGGAGAAGTCTTCAGTCACTGTTTGTTTGTCGTCTGGTGCAAAAGTGGTGACAGTCACTGGACTTGTTGTTTCTGGTGTTGCACCACTTGAAGTCTCTTCTCCTGAAGATGTTATCATTTCCTCGGTTATTGCTGATCCCTCATCGGGTAGTGTTGCAGTTTGGACAGTGTCTGTGGTCACGGTTGGAATGGACAGGCTTTCGTCTACAGCTGTCGTTTGTTCTCCCGAAAACGTCAGCATTTCCTCTGTCACACCTGATCCTTCATCTCCTGAACTTGTCATTTCTCCTGCCTGGGCGGTAGACATTGTTTCAGGACTAGTAGTCTCTGATGTTGTTGTGCTTCCCGTTTCATCTCCTGAGGCTGTAAACATATCTTCAGTTATGCCGGAGAAGTCTTCAGTCACTGTTTGTTTGTCGTGTGGTGCAAAAGTGGTGACAGTCACTGGACTTGTTGTTTCTGGTGTTGCACCACTTGAAGTCTCTTCTCCTGACGATGTTATCATTTCCTCGGTTACTGCTGATCCCTCATCGGGTAGTGTTGCAGTTTGGACAGTGTCTGTGGTCACGGTTGGAATGGACAGGCTTTCGTCTGCAGCTGTTGTTTGTCCTCCCGAAAACGTCAGCATTTCCTCTGTCACACCTGATCCTTCATCTCCTGAACTTGTCATTTCTCCTGCCTGGGAGGTAAACATTGTGGCAGGACTAGTAGTCTCTGCTGTTGTTGTGCTTCCCGTTTCATCTCCTGAGGCTGTAAACATATCTTCAGTTATGCCGGAGAAGTCTTCAGTCACTGTTTGTTTGTCGTCTGGTGCTAGAGTGGTGACAGTCACTGGACTTGTTGTTTCTGGTGTTGCACCACTTGAAGTCTCTTCTCCTGAAGATGTTATCATTTCCTCGGTTATTGCTGATCCCTCATCGGGTAGTGCTGCAGTTTGGACAGTGTCTGTGGTCACGGTTGGAATGGACAGGCTTTCGTCTACAGCTGTCGTTTGTTCTCCCGAAAACGTCAGCATTTCCTCTGTCACACCTGATCCTTCATCTCCTGAACTTGTCATTTCTCCTGCCTGGGCGGTAGACATTGTTTCAGGACTAGTAGTCTCTGCTGTTGTTGTGCTTCCCGTTTCATCTCCTGAGGCTGTAAACATATCTTCAGTTATGCCGGAGAAGTCTTCAGTCACTGTTTGTTTGTCGTGTGGTGCAAAAGTGGTGACAGTCACTGGACTTGTTGTTTCTGGTGTTGCACCACTTGAAGTCTCTTCTCCTGAAGATGTTTTCATTTCCTCGGTTACTGCTGATCCCTCATCGGGTAGTGTTGCAGTTTGGACAGTGTCTGTGGTCACGGTTGGAATGGACAGGCTTTCGTCTGCAGCTGTTGTTTGTCCTCCCGAAAACGTCAGCATTTCCTCTGTCACACCTGATCCTTCATCTCCTGAACTTGTCATTTCTCCTGCCTGGGAGGTAAACATTGTGGCAGGACTAGTAGTCTCTGCTGTTGTTGTGCTTCCCGTTTCATCTCCTGAGGCTGTAAACATATCTTCAGTTATGCCGGAGAAGTCTTCAGTCACTGTTTGTTTGTCGTCTGGTGCTAGAGTGGTGACAGTCACTGGACTTGTTGTTTCTGGTGTTGCACCACTTGAAGTCTCTTCTCCTGAAGATGTTATCATTTCCTCTGTTATTGCTGATCCCTCATCGGGTAGTGTTGCAGTTTGGACAGTGTCTGTGGTCACGGTTGGAATGGACAGGCTTTCGTCTACAGCTGTCGTTTGTTCTCCCGAAAACGTCAGCATTTCCTCTGTCACACCTGATCCTTCATCTCCTGAACTTGTCATTTCTCCTGCCATGGCGGTAGACACTGTGGCAGGACTAGTAGTCTCTGCTGTTTTTGTGCTTCCCGTTTCATCTCCTGAGGCTGTAAACATATCTTCAGTTATGCCGGAGAAGTCTTCAGTCACTGTTTGTTTGTCGTGTGGTGCAAAAGTGGTGACAGTTACTGGACTTGTTGTTTCTGGTGTTGCACCACTTGAAGTCTCTTCTCCTGAAGATGTTTTCATTTCCTCGGTTACTGCTGATCCCTCATCGGGTAGTGTTGCAGTTTGGACAGTGTCTGTGGTCACGGTTGGAATGGACAGGCTTTCGTCTGCAGCTGTTGTTTGTCCTCCCGAAAACGTCAGCATTTCCTCTGTCACACCTGATCCTTCATCTCCTGAACTTGTCATTTCTCCTGCCTGGGAGGTAAACATTGTGGCAGGACTAGTAGTCTCTGCTGTTGTTGTGCTTCCCGTTTCATCTCCTGAGGCTGTAAACATATCTTCAGTTATGCCGGAGAAGTCTTCAGTCACTGTTTGTTTGTCGTCTGGTGCTAGAGTGGTGACAGTCACTGGACTTGTTGTTTCTGGTGTTGCACCACTTGAAGTCTCTTCTCCTGAAGATGTTATCATTTCCTCGGTTATTGCTGATCCCTCATCGGGTAGTGTTGCAGTTTGGACAGTGTCTGTGGTCACGGTTGGAATGGACAGGCTTTCGTCTACAGCTGTCGTTTGTTCTCCCGAAAACGTCAGCATTTCCTCTGTCACACCTGATCCTTCATCTTCTGAACTTGTCATTTCTCCTGCCTGGGCGGTAGACACTGTGGCAGGACTAGTAATCTCTGCTGTTGTTGTGCTTCCCGTTTCATCTCCTGAGGCTGTAAACATATCTTCAGTTATGCCGGAGAAGTCTTCAGTCACTGTTTGTTTGTCGTGTGGTGCAAAAGTGGTGACAGTCACTGGACTTGTTGTTTCTGGTGTTGCACCACTTGAAGTACCTTCTCCTGAAGATGTTATCATTTCCTCGGTTACTGCTGATCCCTCATCGGGTAGTGTTGCAGTTTGGACAGTGTCTGTGGTCACGGTTGGAATGGACAGGCTTTCGTCTGCAGCTGTTGTTTGTTCTCCCGAAAACGTCAGCATTTCCTCTGTCACACCTGATCCTTCATCTCCTGAACTTGTCATTTCTTCTGCCTGGGAGGTAGACATTGTAGCAGGACTAGTAGTCTCTGCTGTTGTTGTGCTTCCCGTTTCATCTCCTGAGTCTGTAAACATATTTTCAGTTATGCCGGAGAAGTCTTCAGTCACTGTTTGTTTGTCGTGTGGTGCAAAAGTGGTGACAGTCACTGGACTTGTTGTTTCTGGTGTTGCACCACTTGAAGTCTCTTCTCCTGAAGATGTTATCATTTCCTCGGTTATTGCTGATCCCTCATCGGGTAGTGTTGCAGTTTGGACAGTGTCTGTGGTCACGGTTGGAATGGACAGGCTTTCGTCTACAGCTGTCGTTTGTTCTCCCGAAAACGTCAGCATTTCCTCTGTCACACCTGATCCTTCATCTCCTGAACTTGTCATTTCTCCTGCCTGGGCGGTAGACATTGTGGCAGGACTAGTAGTCTCTGATGTTGTTGTGCTTCCCGTTTCATCTCCTGAGGCTGTAAACATATCTTCAGTTATGCCGGAGAAGTCTTCAGTCACTGTTTGTTTGTCGTGTGGTGCAAAAGTGGTGACAGTCACTGGACTTGTTGTTTCTGGTGTTGCACCACTTGAAGTCTCTTCTCCTGACGATGTTATCATTTCCTCGGTTACTGCTGATCCCTCATCGGGTAGTGTTGCAGTTTGGACAGTGTCTGTGGTCACGGTTGGAATGGACAGGCTTTCGTCTGCAGCTGTTGTTTGTCCTCCCGAAAACGTCAGCATTTCCTCTGTCACACCTGATCCTTCATCTCCTGAACTTGTCATTTCTCCTGCCTGGGAGGTAAACATTGTGGCAGGACTAGTAGTCTCTGCTGTTGTTGTGCTTCCCGTTTCATCTCCTGAGGCTGTAAACATATCTTCAGTTATGCCGGAGAAGTCTTCAGTCACTGTTTGTTTGTCGTCTGGTCCTAGAGTGGTGACAGTCACTGGACTTGTTGTTTCTGGTGTTGCACCACTTGAAGTCTCTTCTCCTGAAGATGTTATCATTTCCTCGGTTATTGCTGATCCCTCATCGGGTAGTGCTGCAGTTTGGACAGTGTCTGTGGTCACGGTGGGAATGGACAGGCTTTCGTCTACAGCTGTCGTTTGTTCTCCCGAAAACGTCAGCATTTCCTCTGTCACACCTGATCCTTCATCTCCTGAACTTGTCATTTCTCCTGCCTGGGCGGTAGACATTGTTTCAGGACTAGTAGTCTCTGCTGTTGTTGTGCTTCCCGTTTCATCTCCTGAGGCTGTAAACATATCTTCAGTTATGCCGGAGAAGTCTTCAGTCACTGTTTGTTTGTCGTGTGGTGCAAAAGTGGTGACAGTCACTGGACTTGTTGTTTCTGGTGTTGCACCACTTGAAGTCTCTTCTCCTGAAGATGTTTTCATTTCCTCGGTTACTGCTGATCCCTCATCGGGTAGTGTTGCAGTTTGGACAGTGTCTGTGGTCACGGTTGGAATGGACAGGCTTTCGTCTGCAGCTGTTGTTTGTCCTCCCGAAAACGTCAGCATTTCCTCTGTCACACCTGATCCTTCATCTCCTGAACTTGTCATTTCTCCTGCCTGGGAGGTAAACATTGTGGCAGGACTAGTAGTCTCTGCTGTTGTTGTGCTTCCCGTTTCATCTCCTGAGGCTGTAAACATATCTTCAGTTATGCCGGAGAAGTCTTCAGTCACTGTTTGTTTGTCGTCTGGTGCTAGAGTGGTGACAGTCACTGGACTTGTTGTTTCTGGTGTTGCACCACTTGAAGTCTCTTCTCCTGAAGATGTTATCATTTCCTCGGTTATTGCTGATCCCTCATCGGGTAGTGTTGCAGTTTGGACAGTGTCTGTGGTCACGGTTGGAATGGACAGGCTTTCGTCTACAACTGTCGTTTGTTCTCCCGAAAACGTCAGCATTTCCTCTGTCACACCTGATCCTTCATCTCCTGAACTTGTCATTTCTCCTGCCATGGCGGTAGACACTGTGGCAGGACTAGTAGTCTCTGCTGTTGTTGTGCTTCCCGTTTCATCTCCTGAGGCTGTAAACATATCTTCAGTTATGCCGGAGAAGTCTTCAGTCACTGTTTGTTTGTCGTGTGGTGCAAAAGTGGTGACAGTTACTGGACTTGTTGTTTCTGGTGTTGCACCACTTGAAGTCTCTTCTCCTGAAGATGTTTTCATTTCCTCGGTTACTGCTGATCCCTCATCGGGTAGTGTTGCAGTTTGGACAGTGTCTGTGGTCACGGTTGGAATGGACAGGCTTTCGTCTGCAGCTGTTGTTTGTCCTCCCGAAAACGTCAGCATTTCCTCTGTCACACCTGATCCTTCATCTTCTGAACTTGTCATTTCTCCTGCCTGGGCGGTAGACACTGTGGCAGGACTAGTAGTCTCTGCTGTTGTTGTGCTTCCCGTTTCATCTCCTGAGGCTGTAAACATATCTTCAGTTATGCCGGAGAAGTCTTCAGTCACTGTTTGTTTGTCGTGTGGTGCAAAAGTGGTGACAGTCACTGGACTTGTTGTTTCTGGTGTTGCACCACTTGAAGTCTCTTCTCCTGAAGATGTTATCATTTCCTCGGTTATTGCTGATCCCTCATCGGGTAGTGTTGCAGTTTGGACAGTGTCTGTGGTCACGGTTGGAATGGACAGGCTTTCGTCTACAGCTGTCGTTTGTTCTCCCGAAAACGTCAGCATTTCCTCTGTCACACCTGATCCTTCATCTCCTGAACTTGTCATTTCTCCTGCCTGGGCGGTAGACATTGTTTCAGGACTAGTAGTCTCTGCTGTTGTTGTGCTTCCCGTTTCATCTCCTGAGGCTGTAAACATATCTTCAGTTATGCCGGAGAAGTCTTCAGTCACTGTTTGTTTGTCGTGTGGTGCAAAAGTGGTGACAGTCACTGGACTTGTTGTTTCTGGTGTTGCACCACTTGAAGTCTCTTCTCCTGAAGATGTTATCATTTCCTCGGTTACTGCTGATCGCTCATCGGGTAGTGTTGCAGTTTGGACAGTGTCTGTGGTCACGGTTGGAATGGACAGGCTTTCGTCTGCAGCTGTTGTTTGTCCTCCCGAAAACGTCAGCATTTCCTCTGTCACACCTGATCCTTCATCTCCTGAACTTGTCATTTCTTCTGCCTGGGAGGTAGACATTGTAGCAAGACTAGTAGTCTCTGCTGTTGTTGTGCTTCCCGTTTCATCTCCTGAGGCTGTTAACATATCTTCAGTTATGCCGGAGAAGTCTTCAGTCACTGTTTGTTTGTCGTTTGGTGCTAGAGTGGTGACAGTCACTGGACTTGTTGTTTCTGGTGTTGCACCACTTGAAGTCTCTTCTCCTGAAGATGTTATCATTTCCTCTGTTATTGCTGATCCCTCATCGGGTAGTGTTGCAGTTTGGACACTGTCTGTGGTCACGGTTGGAATGGACAGGCTTTCGTCTACAGCTGTCGTTTGTTCTCCCGAAAACGTCAGCATTTCCTCTGTCACACCTGATCCTTCATCTCCTGAACTTGTCATTTCTCCTGCCTGGGCGGTAGACATTGTGGCAGGACTAGTAGTCTCTGCTGTTGTTGTGCTTCCCGTTTCATCTCCTGAGGCTGTAAACATATCTTCAGTTATGCCGGAGAAGTCTTCAGTCACTGTTTGTTTGTCGTGTGGTGCAAAAGTGGTGACAGTCACTGGACTTGTTGTTTCTGGTGTTGCACCACTTGAAGTCTCTTCTCCTGAAGATGTTATCATTTCCTCGGTTACTGCTGATCGCTCATCGGGTAGTGTTGCAGTTTGGACAGTGTCTGTGGTCACGGTTGGAATGGACAGGCTTTCGTCTGCAGCTGTTGTTTGTCCTCCCGAAAACGTCAACATTTCCTCTGTCACACCTGATCCTTCATCTCCTGAACTTGTCATTTCTTCTGCCTGGGAGGTAGACATTGTAGCAAGACTAGTAGTCTCTGCTGTTGTTGTGCTTCCCGTTTCATCTCCTGAGGCTGTAAACATATCTTCAGTTATGCCGGAGAAGTCTTCAGTCACTGTTTGTTTGTCGTTTGGTGCTAGAGTGGTGACAGTCACTGGACTTGTTGTTTCTGGTGTTGCACCACTTGAAGTCTCTTCTCCTGAAGATGTTATCATTTCCTCTGTTATTGCTGATCCCTCATCGGGTAGTGTTGCAGTTTGGACACTGTCTGTGGTCACGGTTGGAATGGACAGGCTTTCGTCTACAGCTGTCGTTTGTTCTCCCGAAAACGTCAGCATTTCCTCTGTCACACCTGATCCTTCATCTCCTGAAGTTGTCATTTCTTCTGCCTGGGAGGTAGACATTGTAGCAGGACTAGTAGTCTCTGCTGTTGTTGTGCTTCCCGTTTCATCTCCTGAGGCTGTAAACATATCTTCAGTTATGCCGGAGAAGTCTTCAGTCACTGTTTGTTTGTCGTCTGGTGCTAGAGTGGTGACAGTCACTGGACTTGTTGTTTCTGGTGTTGCACCACTTGAAGTCTCTTCTCCTGAAGATGTTATCATTTCCTCGGTTACTGCTGATCGCTCATCGGGTAGTGTTGCAGTTTGGACAGTGTCTGTGGTCACGGTTGGAATGGACAGGCTTTCGTCTGCAGCTGTTGTTTGTCCTCCCGAAAACGTCAACATTTCCTCTGTCACACCTGATCCTTCATCTCCTGAACTTGTCATTTCTTCTGCCTGGGAGGTAGACATTGTAGCAAGACTAGTAGTCTCTGCTGTTGTTGTGCTTCCCGTTTCATCTCCTGAGGCTGTAAACATATCTTCAGTTATGCCGGAGAAGTCTTCAGTCACTGTTTGTTTGTCGTTTGGTGCTAGAGTGGTGACAGTCACTGGACTTGTTGTTTCTGGTGTTGCACCACTTGAAGTCTCTTCTCCTGAAGATGTTATCATTTCCTCTGTTATTGCTGATCCCTCATCGGGTAGTGTTGCAGTTTGGACACTGTCTGTGGTCACGGTTGGAATGGACAGGCTTTCGTCTACAGCTGTCGTTTGTTCTCCCGAAAACGTCAGCATTTCCTCTGTCACACCTGATCCTTCATCTCCTGAAGTTGTCATTTCTTCTGCCTGGGAGGTAGACATTGTAGCAGGACTAGTAGTCTCTGCTGTTGTTGTGCTTCCCGTTTCATCTCCTGAGGCTGTAAACATATCTTCAGTTATGCCGGAGAAGTCTTCAGTCACTGTTTGTTTGTCGTCTGGTGCTAGAGTGGTGACAGTCACTGGACTTGTTGTTTCTGGTGTTGCACCACTTGAAGTCTCTTCTCCTGAAGATGTTATCATTTCCTCGGTTATTGCTGATCCCTCATCGGGTAGTGCTGCAGTTTGGACAGTGTCTGTGGTCACGGTTGGAATGGACAGGCTTTCGTCTACAGCTGTCGTTTGTTCTCCCGAAAACGTCAGCATTTCCTCTGTCACACCTGATCCTTCATCTCCTGAACTTGTCATTTCTCCTGCCTGGGCGGTAGACATTGTAGCAGGACTAGTAGTCTCTGCTGTTGTTGTGCTTCCCGTTTCATCTCCCGAGGCTGTAAACATATCTTCAGTTTTGCCAGAGAAGTCTTCAGTCACTGTTTGTTTGTCGTCTGGTGCAAAAGTGGTGACAGTCACTGTACTTGTTGTTTCTGGTGTTGCACCACTTGAAGTCTCTTCTCCTGAAGATGTTATCATTTCCTCGGTTATTGCTGATCCCTCATCGGGTAGTGCTGCAGTTTGGACAGTGTCTGTGGTCACGGTTGGAATGGACAGGCTTTCGTCTACAACTGTCGTTTGTTCTCCCGAAAACGTCAGCATTTCCTCTGTCACACCTGATCCTTCATCTCCTGAACTTGTCATTTCTCCTGCCTGGGAGGTAAACATTGTGGCAGGACTAGTAGTCTCTGCTGTTGTTGTGCTTCCCGTTTCATCCCCTGAGGCTGTAAACATATCTTCAGTTATGCTGGAGAAGTCTTCAGTCATTGTTTGTTTGTCGTCTGGTGCTAGAGTGGTGACAGTCACTGGACTTGTTGTTTCTGGTGTTGCACCACTTGAAGTCTCTTCTCCTGAAGATGTTATCATTTCCTCTGTTACCGCTGATCCCTCATCGGGTAGTGTTGCAGTTTGGACAGTGTCTGTGGTCACGGTTGGAATGGACAGGCTTTCGTCTACAGCTGTTGTTTGTCCTCCCGAAAACGTCAGCATTTCCTCTGTCACACCTGATCCTTCATCTCCTGAACTTGTCATTTCTCCTGCCTGGGAGGTAAACATTGTGGCAGGACTAGTAGTCTCTGCTGTTGTTGTGCTTCCCGTTTCATCTCCTGAGGCTGTAAACATATCTTCAGTTATGTCGGAGAAGTCTTCAGTCACTGTTTGTTTGTCGTCTGGTGCTAGAGTGGTGACAGTCACTGGACTTGTTGTTTCTGGTGTTGCACCACTTGAAGTCTCTTCTCCTGAAGATGTTTTCATTTCCTCGGTTATTGCTGATCCCTCATCGGGTAGTGCTGCAGTTTGGACAGTGTCTGTGGTCACGGTTGGAATGGACAGGCTTTCGTCTACAACTGTCGTTTGTTCTCCCGAAAACGTCAGCATTTCCTCTGTCACACCTGATCCTTCATCTCCTGAACTTGTCATTTCTCCTGCCTGGGCGGTAGACATTGTTTCAGGACTAGTAGTCGCTGCTGTTGTTGTGCTTCCCGTTTCATCTCCTGAGGCTGTAAACATATCTTCAGTTATGCCGGAGAAGTCTTCAGTCACTGTTTGTTTGTCGTGTGGTGCAAAAGTGGTGACAGTCACTGGACTTGTTGTTTCTGGTGTTGCACCACTTGAAGTCTCTTCTCCTGAAGATGTTATCATTTCCTCTGTTATTGCTGATCCCTCATCGGGTAGTGCTGCAGTTTGGACAGTGTCTGTGGTCACGGTGGGAATGGACAGGCTTTCGTCTACAGCTGTCGTTTGTTCTCCCGAAAACGTCAGCATTTCCTCTGTCACACCTGATCCTTCATCTCCTGAACTTGTCATTTCTCCTGCCTGGGCGGTAGACATTGTTTCAGGACTAGTAGTCTCTGCTGTTGTTGTGCTTCCCGTTTCATCTCCTGAGGCTGTAAACATATCTTCAGTTATGCCGGAGAAGTCTTCAGTCACTGTTTGTTTGTCGTGTGGTGCAAAAGTGGTGACAGTCACTGGACTTGTTGTTTCTGGTGTTGCACCACTTGAAGTCTCTTCTCCTGAAGATGTTATCATTTCCTCGGTTACTGCTGATCCCTCATCGGGTAGTGTTGCAGTTTGGACAGTGTCTGTGGTCACGGTTGGAATGGACAGGCTTTCGTCTGCAGCTGTTGTTTGTCCTCCCGAAAACGTCAGCATTTCCTCTGTCACACCTGATCCTTCATCTCCTGAACTTGTCATTTCTCCTGCCTGGGAGGTAAACATTGTAGCAGGACTAGTAGTCTCTGCTGTTGTTGTGCTTCCCGTTTCATCTCCTGAGGCTGTAAACATATCTTCAGTTATGCCGGAGAAGTCTTCAGTCACTGTTTGTTTGTCGTCTGGTGCTAGAGTGGTGACAGTCACTGGACTTGTTGTTTCTGGTGTTGCACCACTTGAAGTCTCTTCTCCTGAAGATGTTATCATTTCCTCTGTTATTGCTGATCCCTCATCGGGTAGTGCTGCAGTTTGGACAGTGTCTGTGGTCACGGTTGGAATGGACAGGCTTTCGTCTACAGCTGTCGTTTGTTCTCCCGAAAACGTCAGCATTTCCTTTGTCACACCTGATCCTTCATCTCCTGAAGTTGTCATTTCTCCTGCCTGGGCGGTAGACATTGTTTCAGGACTAGTAGTCTCTGCTGTTGTTGTGCTTCCCGTTTCATCTCCTGAGGCTGTAAACATATCTTCAGTTATGCTGGAGAAGTCTTCAGTCACTGTTTGTTTGTCGTGTGGTGCAAAAGTGGTGACAGTCACTGGACTTGTTGTTTCTGGTGTTGCACCACTTGAAGTCTCTTCTCCTGAAGATGTTATCATTTCCTCGGTTACTGCTGATCCCTCATCGGGTAGTGTTGCAGTTTGGACAGTGTCTGTGGTCACGGTTGGAATGGACAGGCTTTCGTCTGCAGCTGTTGTTTGTCCTCCCGAAAACGTCAGCATTTCCTCTGTCACACCTGATCCTTCATCTCCTGAAGTTGTCATTTCTTCTGCCTGGGAGGTAGACACTGTAGCAGGACTAGTAGTCTCTGCTGTTGTTGTGCTTCCCGTTTCATCTCCTGAGGCTGTAAACATATCTTCAGTTATGCCGGAGAAGTCTTCAGTCACTGTTTGTTTGTCGTCTGGTGCTAGAGTGGTGACAGTCACTGGACTTGTTGTTTCTGGTGTTGCACCACTTGAAGTCTCTTCTCCTGAAGATGTTATCATTTCCTCGGTTATTGCTGATCCCTCATTGGGTAGTGCTGCAGTTTGGACAGTGTCTGTGGTCACGGTTGGAATGGACAGGCTTTCGTCTACAACTGTCGTTTGTTCTCCCGAAAACGTCAGCATTTCCTCTGTCACACCTGATCCTTCATCTCCTGAAGTTGTCATTTCTTCTGCCTCGGAGGTAGACATTGTAGCAGGACTAGTAGTCTCTGCTGTTGTTGTGCTTCCCGTTTCATCTCCTGAGGCTGTAAACATATCTTCAGTTATGCCGGAGAAGTCTTCAGTCACTGTTTGTTTGTCGTCTGGTGCTAGAGTGGTGACAGTCACTGGACTTGTTGTTTCTGGTGTTGCACCACTTGAAGTCTCTTCTCCTGAAGATGTTATCATTTCCTCGGTTATTCCTGATCCCTCATCGGGTAGTGCTGCAGTTTGGACAGTGTCTGTGGTCACGGTTGGAATGGACAGGCTTTCGTCTACAACTGTCGTTTGTTCTCCCGAAAACGTCAGCATTTCCTCTGTCACACCTGATCCTTCATCTCCTGAACTTGTCATTTCTCCTGCCTGGGAGGTAGACATTGTTTCAGGACTAGTAGTCTCTGCTGTTGTTGTGCTTCCCGTTTCATCTCCTGAGGCTGTAAACATATCTTCAGTTATGCCGGAGAAGTCTTCAGTCACTGTTTGTTTGTCGTGTGGTGCAATAGTGGTGACAGTCACTGGACTTGTTGTTTCTGGTGTTGCACCACTTGAAGTCTCTTCTCCTGAAGATGTTATCATTTCCTCGGTTATTGCTGATCGCTCATCGGGTAGTGTACCAGTTTGGACAGTGTCTGTGGTCACGGTTGGAATGGACAGGCTTTCGTCTGCAGCTGTTGTTTGTCCTCCCGAAAACGTCAGCATTTCCTCTGTCACACCTGATCCTTCATCTCCTGAACTTGTCATTTCTCCTGCCTGGGAGGTAGACATTGTTTCAGGACTAGTAGTCTCTGCTGTTGTTGTGCTTCCCGTTTCATCTCCTGAGGCTGTAAACATATCTTCAGTTATGCCGGAGAAGTCTTCAGTCACTGTTTGTTTGTCGTCTGGTGCTAGAGTGGTGACAGTCACTGGACTTGTTGTTTCTGGTGTTGCACCACTTGAAGTCTCTTCTCCTGAAGATGTTATCATTTCCTCTGTTATTGCTGATCCTTCATCGGGTAGTGCTGCAGTTTGGACAGTGTCTGTGGTCACGGTTGGAATGGACAGGCTTTCGTCTACAGCTGTGGTTTGTTCTCCCGAAAACGTCAGCATTTCCTCTGTCACACCTGATCCTTCATCTCCTGAACTTGTCATTTCTTCTTCCTGGGAGGTAGACATTGTGGCAGGACTAGTAGTCTCTGCTGTTGTTGTGCTTCCCGTTTCATCTCCTGAGGCTGTAAACATATCTTCAGTTATTGTTATGCCAGAGAAGTCTTCAGTCACTGTTTGTTTGTCGTCTGGTGCTAGAGTGGTGACAGTCACTGGACTTGTTGTTTCTGGTGTTGCACCACTTGAAGTCTCTTCTCCTGAAGATGTTATCATTTCCTCTGTTATTGCTGATCCTTCATCGGGTAGTGCTGCAGTTTGGACAGTGTCTGTGGTCACGGTTGGAATGGACAGGCTTTCCTCTACAGCTGTCGTTTGTTCTCCCGAAAACGTCAGCATTTCCTCTGTCACACCTGATCCTTCATCTCCTGAAGTTGTCATTTCTCCTGCCTGGGAGGTAGACATTGTGGCAGGACTAGTGGTCTCTGCTGTTGTTGTGCTTCCCGTTTCATCTCCTGAGGCTGTAAACATATCTTCAGTTATGCCAGAGAAGTCTTCAGTCACTGTTTGTTTGTCGTCTGGTGCTAGAGTGGTGACAGTCACTGGACTTGTTGTTTCTGGTGTTGCACCACTTGAAGTCTCTTCTCCTGAAGATGTTATCATTTCCTCTGTTATTGCTGATCCTTCATCGGGTAGTGCTGCAGTTTGGACAGTGTCTGTGGTCACGGTTGGAATGGACAGGCTTTCGTCTACAGCTGTGGTTTGTTCTCCCGAAAACGTCAGCATTTCCTCTGTCACACCTGATCCTTCATCTCCTGAACTTGTCATTTCTTCTTCCTGGGAGGTAGACATTGTGGCAGGACTAGTAGTCTCTGCTGTTGTTGTGCTTCCCGTTTCATCTCCTGAGGCTGTAAACATATCTTCAGTTATTGTTATGCCAGAGAAGTCTTCAGTCACTGTTTGTTTGTCGTCTGGTGCTAGAGTGGTGACAGTCACTGGACTTGTTGTTTCTGGTGTTGCACCACTTGAAGTCTCTTCTCCTGAAGATGTTATCATTTCCTCTGTTATTGCTGATCCTTCATCGGGTAGTGCTGCAGTTTGGACAGTGTCTGTGGTCACGGTTGGAATGGACAGGCTTTCCTCTACAGCTGTCGTTTGTTCTCCCGAAAACGTCAGCATTTCCTCTGTCACACCTGATCCTTCATCTCCTGAAGTTGTCATTTCTCCTGCCTGGGAGGTAGACATTGTGGCAGGACTAGTGGTCTCTGCTGTTGTTGTGCTTCCCGTTTCATCTCCTGAGGCTGTAAACATATCTTCAGTTATGCCAGAGAAGTCTTCAGTCACTGTTTGTTTGTCGTCTGGTGCTAGAGTGGTGACAGTCACTGGACTTGTTGTTTCTGGTGTTGCACCACTTGAAGTCTCTTCTCCTGAAGATGTTATCATTTCCTCTGTTATTGCTGATCCCTCATCGGCTAGTGTTACAGTTTCGACAGTGTCTGTGGTCACGGTTGGAATGGACAGGCTTTCGTCTACAGCTGTCGTTTGTTCTCCCGAAAATATTTCCGTCGTCTTTTCCACTCTATTAAATGCTTGCAAAGTCACTTTTGGATCTAATTCTAATGAAGAAAATCCATATTCTGTTGGTGTTGTGATTTCATCTCCAAAAGTTGTCTTTTCTTCCCCAGAGGATGTTATCATTTCCTCCGTCACACCAGACTCTTCATCACCCGATGATGTCCCCTCCGGGATTGTACTTGTTGGCATAGTTACGGAGCTGTCAGGCTCTTGTGTGACAGTGCTGCTTGTTTCATCTCCAGATGCAGTGAAGGGCTCCTCTGTAAGACCAGAACCAGTCTCGGTTGCTGATGTGTCAACGCTGAGAGGTGTGGTAGTGTCAGTCATGCCACTTGTGGCATACTCGGTTGTTCCGCTGGAAACTTCATCTCCAGAAGAGGTGACCATTTCCTCAGTTACAGGGGATCCTTCTCCTGGAGTTGATGTGGCTGATGTAGGCGGCGACATTGTCTCCACTGTATCCGAGGGTGTTGTTTCTTCCCTAGGGGATGTTATCATTTCCTCCGTCACACCAGACTCTTCATCACCCGATGATGTCCCCTCCGGAATTGTACTTGTTGCCATAGTGACGGTGCTGTCAGGCTCTTGTGTGACAGTGCTGCTTGTTTCATCTCCAGATGCAGTGAAGGGCTCCTCTGTAAGACCAGAACCAGTCTCGGTTGCTGATGTGTCATCGCTGAGAGGTGTGGTAGTGTCAGTCATGCCACTTGTGGCATACTCGGTTGTTCCGCTGGACACTTCATCTCCAGAAGAGGTGACCATTTCCTCAGTTACAGGGGATCCTTCTTCTGGAGTGGATGTTACTGAGGTAGGCGGCGACATTGTCTCCACTGTATCCGAGGATGTTGTTTCTTCCCCAGAGGATGTTATCATTTCCTCCGTCACACCAGACTCTTCATCACCCGATGATGTCCCCTCCGGAATTGTACTTGTTGCCATAGTGACGGTGCTGTCAGGCTCTTGTGTGACAGTGCTGCTTGTTTCATCTCCAGATGCAGTGAAGGGCTCCTCTGTAAGACCAGAACCAGTCTCGGTTGCTGATGTGTCATCGCTGAGAGGTGTGGTAGTGTCAGTCATGCCACTTGTGGCATACTCGGTTGTTCCGCTGGACACTTCATCTCCAGAAGAGGTGACCATTTCCTCAGTTACAGGGGATCCTTCTTCTGGAGTTGATGTGGCTGATGTAGGCGGCGACATTGTCTCCACTGTATCCGAGGGTGTTGTTTCTTCCCCAGAGGATGTTATCATTTCCTCCGTCACACCAGACTCTTCATCACCCGATGATGTCCCCTCCGGAATTGTACTTGTTGCCATAGTGACGGTGCTGTCAGGCTCTTGTGTGACAGTGCTGCTTGTTTCATCTCCAGATGCAGTGAAGGGCTCCTCTGTAAGACCAGAACCAGTCTCGGTTGCTGATGTGTCATCGCTGAAAGGTGTGGTAGTGTCAGTCATGCCACTTGTGGCATACTCGGTTGTTCCGCTGGAAACTTCATCTCCAGAAGAGGTGACCATTTCCTCAGTTACAGGGGATCCTTCTTCTGGAGTTGATGTGGCTGATGTAGGCGGCGACATTGTCTCCACTGTATCCGAGGGTGTTGTTTCTTCCCCAGAGGATGTTATCATTTCCTCCGTCACACCAGACTCTTCATCACCCGATGATGTCCCCTCCGGAATTGTACTTGTTGCCATAGTTACGGAGCTGTCAGGCTCTTGTGTGACAGTGCTGCTTGTTTCATCTCCAGATGCAGTGAAGGGCTCCTCTGTAAGACCAGAACCAGTCTCGGTTGCTGATGTGTCATCGCTGAGATGTGTGGTAGTGTCAGTCATCCCACTTGTGGCATACTCGGTTGTTCCGCTGGAAACTTCATCTCCAGAAGCGGTGACCATTTCCTCAGTTACAGGGGATCCTTCTTCTGGAGTGGATGTGACTGAGGTAGGCGGCGACATTGTCTCCACTGTATCCGAGGGTGTTGTTTCTTCCCCAGAGGATGTTATCATTTCCTCCGTCACACCAGACTCTTCATCACCCGATGATGTCCCCTCCGGAATTGTACTTGTTGCCATAGTGACGGTGCTGTCAAGCTCTTGTGTGACAGTGCTGCTTGTTTCATCTCCAGATGCAGTGAAGGGCTCCTCTGTAAGACCAGAACCAGTCTCGGTTGCTGATGTGTCAACGCTGAGAGGTGTGGTAGTGTCAGTCATGCCACTTGTGGCATACTCGGTTGTTCCGCTGGAAACTTCATCTCCAGAAGAGGTGACCATTTCCTCAGTTACAGGGGATCCTTCTCCTGGAGTTGATGTGGCTGATGTAGGCGGCGACATTGTCTCCACTGTATCCGAGGGTGTTGTTTCTTCCCTAGGGGATGTTATCATTTCCTCCGTCACACCAGACTCTTCATCACCCGATGATGTCCCCTCCGGAATTGTACTTGTTGCCATAGTGACGGTGCTGTCAGGCTCTTGTGTGACAGTGCTGCTTGTTTCATCTCCAGATGCAGTGAAGGGCTCCTCTGTAAGACCAGAACCAGTCTCGGTTGCTGATGTGTCATCGCTGAGAGGTGTGGTAGTGTCAGTCATGCCACTTGTGGCATACTCGGTTGTTCCGCTGGACACTTCATCTCCAGAAGAGGTGACCATTTCCTCAGTTACAGGGGATCCTTCTTCTGGAGTGGATGTTACTGAGGTAGGCGGCGACATTGTCTCCACTGTATCCGAGGATGTTGTTTCTTCCCCAGAGGATGTTATCATTTCCTCCGTCACACCAGACTCTTCATCACCCGATGATGTCCCCTCCGGAATTGTACTTGTTGCCATAGTGACGGTGCTGTCAGGCTCTTGTGTGACAGTGCTGCTTGTTTCATCTCCAGATGCAGTGAAGGGCTCCTCTGTAAGACCAGAACCAGTCTCGGTTGCTGATGTGTCATCGCTGAGAGGTGTGGTAGTGTCAGTCATGCCACTTGTGGCATACTCGGTTGTTCCGCTGGACACTTCATCTCCAGAAGAGGTGACCATTTCCTCAGTTACAGGGGATCCTTCTTCTGGAGTGGATGTGGCTGATGTAGGCGGCGACATTGTCTCCACTGTATCCGAGGGTGTTGTTTCTTCCCCAGAGGATGTTATCATTTCCTCCGTCACACCAGACTCTTCATCACCCGATGATGTCCCCTCCGGAATTGTACTTGTTGCCATAGTGACGGTGCTGTCAGGCTCTTGTGTGACAGTGCTGCTTGTTTCATCTCCAGATGCAGTGAAGGGCTCCTCTGTAAGACCAGAACCAGTCTCGGTTGCTGATGTGTCATCGCTGAAAGGTGTGGTAGTGTCAGTCATGCCACTTGTGGCATACTCGGTTGTTCCGCTGGAAACTTCATCTCCAGAAGAGGTGACCATTTCCTCAGTTACAGGGGATCCTTCTTCTGGAGTTGATGTGGCTGATGTAGGCGGCGACATTGTCTCCACTGTATCCGAGGGTGTTGTTTCTTCCCCAGAGGATGTTATCATTTCCTCCGTCACACCAGACTCTTCATCACCCGATGATGTCCCCTCCGGAATTGTACTTGTTGCCATAGTGACGGTGCTGTCAAGCTCTTGTGTGACAGTGCTGCTTGTTTCATCTCCAGATGCAGTGAAGGGCTCCTCTGTAAGACCAGAACCAGTCTCGGTTGCTGATGTGTCAACGCTGAGAGGTGTGGTAGTGTCAGTCATGCCACTTGTGGCATACTCGGTTGTTCCGCTGGAAACTTCATCTCCAGAAGAGGTGACCATTTCCTCAGTTACAGGGGATCCTTCTCCTGGAGTTGATGTGGCTGATGTAGGCGGCGACATTGTCTCCACTGTATCCGAGGGTGTTGTTTCTTCCCTAGGGGATGTTATCATTTCCTCCGTCACACCAGACTCTTCATCACCCGATGATGTCCCCTCCGGAATTGTACTTGTTGCCATAGTGACGGTGCTGTCAGGCTCTTGTGTGACAGTGCTGCTTGTTTCATCTCCAGATGCAGTGAAGGGCTCCTCTGTAAGACCAGAACCAGTCTCGGTTGCTGATGTGTCATCGCTGAGAGGTGTGGTAGTGTCAGTCATGCCACTTGTGGCATACTCGGTTGTTCCGCTGGACACTTCATCTCCAGAAGAGGTGACCATTTCCTCAGTTACAGGGGATCCTTCTTCTGGAGTGGATGTTACTGAGGTAGGCGGCGACATTGTCTCCACTGTATCCGAGGATGTTGTTTCTTCCCCAGAGGATGTTATCATTTCCTCCGTCACACCAGACTCTTCATCACCCGATGATGTCCCCTCCGGAATTGTACTTGTTGCCATAGTGACGGTGCTGTCAGGCTCTTGTGTGACAGTGCTGCTTGTTTCATCTCCAGATGCAGTGAAGGGCTCCTCTGTAAGACCAGAACCAGTCTCGGTTGCTGATGTGTCATCGCTGAAAGGTGTGGTAGTGTCAGTCATGCCACTTGTGGCATACTCGGTTGTTCCGCTGGAAACTTCATCTCCAGAAGAGGTGACCATTTCCTCAGTTACAGGGGATCCTTCTTCTGGAGTTGATGTGGCTGATGTAGGCGGCGACATTGTCTCCACTGTATCCGAGGGTGTTGTTTCTTCCCCAGAGGATGTTATCATTTCCTCCGTCACACCAGACTCTTCATCACCCGATGATGTCCCCTCCGGAATTGTACTTGTTGCCATAGTGACGGTGCTGTCAAGCTCTTGTGTGACAGTGCTGCTTGTTTCATCTCCAGATGCAGTGAAGGGCTCCTCTGTAAGGCCAGAACCAGTCTCGGTTGCTGATGTGTCAACGCTGAGAGGTGTGGTAGTGTCAGTCATGCCACTTGTGGCATACTCGGTTGTTCCGCTGGAAACTTCATCTCCAGAAGAGGTGACCATTTCCTCAGTTACAGGGGATCCTTCTTCTGGAGTTGATGTGGCTGATGTAGGCGGCGACATTGTCTCCACTGTATCCGAGGGTGTTGTTTCTTCCCCAGAGGATGTTATCATTTCCTCCGTCACACCAGACTCTTCATCACCCGATGATGTCCCCTCCGGAATTGTACTTGTTGCCATAGTGACGGTGCTGTCAAGCTCTTGTGTGACAGTGCTGCTTGTTTCATCTCCAGATGCAGTGAAGGGCTCCTCTGTAAGGCCAGAACCAGTCTCGGTTGCTGATGTGTCAACGCTGAGAGGTGTGGTAGTGTCAGTCATGCCACTTGTGGCATACTCGGTTGTTCCGCTGGAAACTTCATCTCCAGAAGAGGTGACCATTTCCTCAGTTACAGGGGATCCTTCTTCTGGAGTTGATGTGGCTGATGTAGGCGGCGACATTGTCTCCACTGTATCCGAGGGTGTTGTTTCTTCCCCAGAGGATGTTATCATTTCCTCTGTCACACCAGACTCTTCATCACCCGATGATGTCCCCTCCGGAATTGTACTTGTTGGCATAGTTACGGAGCTGTCAGGCTCTTGTGTGACAGTGCTGCTTGTTTCATCTCCAGATGCAGTGAAGGGCTCCTCTGTCAGACCAGAACCAGTCTCGGTTGCTGATGTGTCATCGCTGAGATGTGTGGTAGTGTCAGTCATCCCACTTGTGGCATACTCGGTTGTTCCGCTGGAAACTTCATCTCCAGAAGAGGTGACCATTTCCTCAGTTACAGGGGATCCTTCTTCTGGAGTGGATGTGACTGAGGTAGGCGGCGACATTGTCTCCACTGTATCCGAGGGTGTTGTTTCTTCCCCAGAGGATGTTATCATTTCCTCCGTCACACCAGACTCTTCATCACCCGATGATGTCCCCTCCGGAATTGTACTTGTTGCCATAGTGACGGTGCTGTCAGGCTCTTGTGTGACAGTGCTGCTTGTTTCATCTCCAGATGCAGTGAAGGGCTCCTCTGTAAGACCAGAACCAGTCTCGGTTGCTGATGTGTCATCGCTGAGAGGTGTGGTAGTGTCAGTCATGCCACTTGTGGCATACTCGGTTGTTCCGCTGGAAACTTCATCTCCAGAAGAGGTGACCATTTCCTCAGTTACAGGGGATCCTTCTTCTGGAGTGGATGTGGCTGATGTAGGCGGCGACATTGTCTCCACTGTATCCGAGGGTGTTGTTTCTTCCCCAGAGGATGTTATCATTTCCTCCGTCACACCAGACTCTTCATCACCCGATGATGTCCCCTCCGGAATTGTACTTGTTGCCATAGTGACGGTGCTGTCAGGCTCTTGTGTGACAGTGCTGCTTGTTTCATCTCCAGATGCAGTGAAGGGCTCCTCTGTAAGACCAGAACCAGTCTCGGTTGCTGATGTGTCAACGCTGAGAGGTGTGGTAGTGTCAGTCATGCCACTTGTGGCATACTCGGTTGTTCCGCTGGAAACTTCATCTCCAGAAGAGGTGACCATTTCCTCAGTTACAGGGGATCCTTTTTCTGGAGTGGGTGTGACTGAGGTAGGCGGCGACATTGTCTCCACTGTATCCGAGGATGTTGTTTCTTCCCCAGAGGATGTTATCATTTCCTCCGTCACACCAGACTCTTCATCACCCGATGATGTCCCCTCCGGAATTGTACTTGTTGCCATAGTTACGGAGCTGTCAGGCTCTTGTGTGACAGTGCTGCTTGTTTCATCTCCAGATGCAGTGAAGGGCTCCTCTGTAAGACCAGAACCAGTCTCGGTTGCTGATGTGTCATCGCTGAGAGGTGTGGTAGTATCAGTCATCCCACTTGTGGCATACTCGGTTGTTCCGCTGGAAACTTCATCTCCAGAAGAGGAGACCATTTCCTCAGTTACAGGGGATCCTTCTTCTGGAGTGGATGTGACTGAGGTAGGCGGCGACATTGTCTCCACTGTATCCGAGGGTGTTGTTTCTTCCCCAGAGGATGTTATAATTTCCTCCGTCACACCAGACTCTTCATCACCCGATGATGTCCCCTCCGGAATTGTACTTGTTGCCATAGTGACGGTGCTGTCAAGCTCTTGTGTGACAGTGCTGCTTGTTTCATCTCCAGATGCAGTGAAGGGCTCCTCTGTAAGGCCAGAACCAGTCTCGGTTGCTGATGTGTCAACGCTGAGAGGTGTGGTAGTGTCAGTCATGCCACTTGTGGCATACTCGGTTGTTCCGCTGGAAACTTCATCTCCAGAAGAGGTGACCATTTCCTCAGTTACAGGGGATCCTTCTTCTGGAGTGGATGTGACTGAGGTAGGCGGCGACATTGTCTCCACTGTATCCGAGGATGTTGTTTCTTCCCCAGAGGATGTTATCATTTCCTCGGTCACACTAGACTCTTCGTCACCCGATGATGTCCCCTCCGGAATTGTACTTGTTGCCATAGTTACGGAGCTGTCAGGCTCTTGTGTGACAGTGCTGCTTGTTTCATCTCCAGATGCAGTGAAGGGCTCCTCTGTAAGGCCAGAACCAGTCTCGGTTGCTGATGTGTCATCGCTGAGAGGTGTGGTAGTATCAGTCATCCCACTTGTGGCATACTCGGTTGTTCCGCTGGAAACTTCATCTCCAGAAGAGGAGACCATTTCCTCAGTTACAGGGGATCCTTCTTCTGGAGTGGATGTGACTGAGGTAGGCGGCGACATTGTCTCCACTGTATCCGAGGGTGTTGTTTCTTCCCCAGAGGATGTTATAATTTCCTCCGTCACACCAGACTCTTCATCACCCGATGATGTCCCCTCCGGAATTGTACTTGTTGCCATAGTGACGGTGCTGTCAAGCTCTTGTGTGACAGTGCTGCTTGTTTCATCTCCAGATGCAGTGAAGGGCTCCTCTGTAAGACCAGAACCAGTCTCGGTTGCTGATGTGTCAACGCTGAGAGGTGTGGTAGTGTCAGTCATGCCACTTGTGGCATACTCGGTTGTTCCGCTGGAAACTTCATCTCCAGAAAAGGTGACCATTTCCTCAGTTACAGGGGATCCTTCTTCTGGAGTGGATGTGACTGAGGTAGGCGGCGACATTGTCTCCACTGTATCCGAGGATGTTGTTTCTTCCCCAGAGGATGTTATCATTTCCTCGGTCACACTAGACTCTTCGTCACCCGATGATGTCCCCTCCGGAATTGTACTTGTTGCCATAGTTACGGAGCTGTCAGGCTCTTGTGTGACAGTGCTGCTTGTTTCATCTCCAGATGCAGTGAAGGGCTCCTCTGTAAGACCAGAACCAGTCTCGGTTGCTGATGTGTCATCGCTGAGAGGTGTGGTAGTATCAGTCATCCCACTTGTGGCATACTCGGTTGTTCCGCTGGAAACTTCATCTCCAGAAGAGGTGACCATTTCCTCAGTTACAGGGGATCCTTCTTCTGGAGTGGATGTGACTGAGGTAGGCGGCGACATTGTCTCCACTGTATCCGAGGATGTTGTTTCTTCCCCAGAGGATGTTATCATTTCCTCCGTCACACCAGACTCTTCATCACCCGATGATGTCCCCTCCGGAATTGTACTTGTTGCCATAGTGACGGTGCTGTCAGGCTCTTGTGTGACAGTGCTGCTTGTTTCATCTCCAGATGCAGTGAAGGGCTCCTCTGTAAGGCCAGAACCAGTCTCGATTGCTGATGTGTCATCGCTGAGAGGTGTGGTAGTGTCAGTCATGCCACTTGTGACATACTCGGTTGTTCCGCTGGACACTTCATCTCCAGAAGAGGTGACCATTTCCTCAGTTACAGGGGATCCTTCTTCTGGAGTGGATGTGACTGAGGTAGGCGGCGACATTGTCTCCACTGTATCCGAGGATGTTGTTTCTTCCCCAGAGGATGTTAGCATTTCCTCCGTCACACCAGACTCTTCATCACCCGATGATGTCCCCTCCGGAATTGTACTTGTTGCCATAGTTACGGTGCTGTCAGGCCCTTGTGTGACAGTGCTGCTTGTTTCATCTCCAGATGCAGTGAATGGCTCCTCTGTAAGGCCAGAACCAGTCTCGGTTGCTGATGTGTCATCGCTGAGAGGTGTGGTAGTGTCAGTCATGCCACTTGTGGCATACTCGGTTGTTCCGCTGGACACTTCATCTCCAGAAGAGGTGACCATTTCCTCAGTTACAGGGGATCCTTCTTCTGGAGTGGATGTGACTGAGGTAGGCGGCGACATTGTCTCCACTGTATCCGAGGATGTTGTTTCTTCCCCAGAGGATGTTAGCATTTCCTCCGTCACACCAGACTCTTCATCACCCGATGATGTCCCGTCCGGAATTGTACTTGTTGCCATAGTTACGGTGCTGTCAGGCTCTTGTGTGACAGTGCTGCTTGTTTCATCTCCAGATGCAGTGAATGGCTCCTCTGTAAGGCCAGAACCAGTCTCGGTTGCTGATGTGTCAACGCTGAGAGGTGTGGTAGTGTCAGTCATGCCACTTGTGGCATACTCGGTTGTTCCGCTGGACACTTCATCTTCAGAAGAGGTGACCATTTCCTCAGTTACAGGGGATCCTTCTTCTGGAGTGGATGTGACTGAGGTAGGCGGCGACATTGTCTCCACTGTATCCGAGGATGTTGTTTCTTCCCCAGAGGATGTTATCATTTCCTCCGTCACACCAGACTCTTCATCACCCGATGATGTCCCCTCCGGAATTGTACTTGTTGCCATAGTGACGGTGCTGTCAGGCTCTTGTGTGACAGTGCTGCTTGTCTCATCTCCAGATGCAGCAAAGGGCTCATCTGTAAGACCAGAACCAGTCTCGGTTGCTGATGTGTCATCGCTGAGAGGTGTGGTAATGTCAGTCATGCCACTTGTGACATACTCGGTTATTCCGCTGGACACTTCATCTCCAGAAGAGGTGACCATTTCCTCAGTTACAGGGGATCCTTCTTCTGGAGTGGATGTGACTGAGGTAGGCGGCGACATTGTCTCCACTGTATCCGAGGATGTTGTTTCTTCCCCAGAGGATGTTATCATTTCCTCCGTCACACCAGACTCTTCATCACCCGATGATGTCCCCTCCGGAATTGTACTTGTTGCCATAGTGACGGTGCTGTCAGGCTCTTGTGTGACAGTGCTGCTTGTTTCATCTCCAGATGCAGTGAAGGGCTCCTCTGTAAGACCAGAACCAGTCTCGGTTGCTGATGTGTCAACGCTGAGAGGTGTGGTAGTGTCAGTCATGCCACTTGTGACATACTCGGTTATTCCGCTGGACACTTCATCTCCAGAAGAGGTGACCATTTCCTCAGTTACAGGGGATCCTTCTTCTGGAGTGGATGTGACTGAGGTAGGCGGCGACATTGTCTCCACTGTATCCGAGGATGTTGTTTCTTCCCCAGAGGATGTTATCATTTCCTCCGTCACACCAGACTCTTCATCACCCGATGATGTCCCCTCCGGAATTGTACTTGTTGCCATAGTGACGGTGCTGTCAGGCTCTTGTGTGACAGTGCTGCTTGTTTCATCTCCAGATGCAGTGAAGGGCTCCTCTGTAAGACCAGAACCAGTCTCGGTTGCTGATGTGTCAACGCTGAGAGGTGTGGTAGTGTCAGTCATGCCACTTGTGACATACTCGGTTATTCCGCTGGACACTTCATCTCCAGAAGAGGTGACCATTTCCTCAGTTACAGGGGATCCTTCTTCTGGAGTGGATGTGACTGAGGTAGGCGGCGACATTGTCTCCACTGTATCCGAGGATGTTGTTTCTTCCCCAGAGGATGTTATCATTTCCTCCGTCACACCAGACTCTTCATCACCCGATGATGTCCCCTCCGGAATTGTACTTGTTGCCATAGTGACGGTGCTGTCAGGCTCTTGTGTGACAGTGTTGCTTGTTTCATCTCCAGATGCAGTGAAGGGCTCCTCTGTAAGACCAGAACCAGTCTCGGTTGCTGATGTGTCATCGCTGAGAGGTGTGGTAATGTCAGTCATGCCACTTGTGGCATACTCAGTTGCTCCACTGGAAACTTCATCTCCAGAAGAGGTGACCATTTCCTCAGTTACAGGGGATCCTTCTTCTGGAGTGGATGTGACTGAGGTAGGCGGCGACATTGTCTCCACTGTATCCGATGATGTTGTTTCTTCCCCAGAGGATGTTATCATTTCCTCCGTCACACCAGACTCTTCATCACCCGATGATGTCCCCTCCGGAATTGTACTTGTTGCCATAGTGACGGTGCTGTCAGGCTCTTGTGTGACAGTGCTGCTTGTCTCATCTCCAGATGCAGCAAAGGGCTCATCTGTAAGACCAGAACCAGTCTCGGTTGCTGATGTGTCATCGCTGAGAGGTGTGGTAATGTCAGTCATGCCACTTGTGGCATACTCAGTTGCTCCGCTGGAAACTTCATCTCCCGAAGAGGTTATCATTTCCTCAGTTACAGGGGATCCTTCTTCTGGAGTGGATGTGACTGAGGTAGGCGGCGACATTGTCTCCACTGTATCCGAGGATGTTGTTTCTTCCCCAGAGGATGTTATCATTTCCTCCGTCACACCAGACTCTTCATCACCCGATGATGTCCCCTCCGGAATTGTACTTGTTGCCATAGTGACGGTGCTGTCAGGCTCTTGTGTGACAGTGCTGCTTGTTTCATCTCCAGATGCAGTGAAGGGCTCCTCTGTAAGACCAGAACCAGTCTCGGTTGCTGATGTGTCAACGCTGAGAGGTGTGGTAGTGTCAGTCATGCCACTTGTGACATACTCGGTTATTCCGCTGGACACTTCATCTCCAGAAGAGGTGACCATTTCCTCAGTTACAGGGGATCCTTCTTCTGGAGTGGATGTGACTGAGGTAGGCGGCGACATTGTCTCCACTGTATCCGAGGATGTTGTTTCTTCCCCAGAGGATGTTATCATTTCCTCCGTCACACCAGACTCTTCATCACCCGATGATGTCCCCTCCGGAATTGTACTTGTTGCCATAGTGACGGTGCTGTCAGGCTCTTGTGTGACAGTGCTGCTTGTTTCATCTCCAGATGCAGTGAAGGGCTCCTCTGTAAGACCAGAACCAGTCTCGGTTGCTGATGTGTCAACGCTGAGAGGTGTGGTAGTGTCAGTCATGCCACTTGTGACATACTCGGTTATTCCGCTGGACACTTCATCTCCAGAAGAGGTGACCATTTCCTCAGTTACAGGGGATCCTTCTTCTGGAGTGGATGTGACTGAGGTAGGCGGCGACATTGTCTCCACTGTATCCGAGGATGTTGTTTCTTCCCCAGAGGATGTTATCATTTCCTCCGTCACACCAGACTCTTCATCACCCGATGATGTCCCCTCCGGAATTGTACTTGTTGCCATAGTGACGGTGCTGTCAGGCTCTTGTGTGACAGTGCTGCTTGTTTCATCTCCAGATGCAGTGAAGGGCTCCTCTGTAAGACCAGAACCAGTCTCGGTTGCTGATGTGTCAACGCTGAGAGGTGTGGTAGTGTCAGTCATGCCACTTGTGACATACTCGGTTATTCCGCTGGACACTTCATCTCCAGAAGAGGTGACCATTTCCTCAGTTACAGGGGATCCTTCTTCTGGAGTGGATGTGACTGAGGTAGGCGGCGACATTGTCTCCACTGTATCCGAGGATGTTGTTTCTTCCCCAGAGGATGTTATCATTTCCTCCGTCACACCAGACTCTTCATCACCCGATGATGTCCCCTCCGGAATTGTACTTGTTGCCATAGTTACGGTGCTGTCAGGCTCTTGTGTGACAGTGCTGCTTGTTTCATCTCCAGATGCAGTGAATGGCTCCTCTGTAAGGCCAGAACCAGTCTCGATTGCTGATGTGTCATCGCTGAGAGGTGTGGTAGTGTCAGTCATGCCACTTGTGGCATACTCGGTTGTTCCGCTGGACACTTCATCTCCAGAAGAGGTGACCATTTCCTCAGTTACAGGGGATCCTTCTTCTGGAGTGGATGTGACTGAGGTAGGCGGCGACATTGTCTCCACTGTATCCGAGGATGTTGTTTCTTCCCCAGAGGATGTTATCATTTCCTCCGTCACACCAGACTCTTCATCACCCGATGATGTCCCCTCCGGAATTGTACTTGTTGCCATAGTGACGGTGCTGTCAGGCTCTTGTGTGACAGTGCTGCTTGTTTCATCTCCAGATGCAGTGAATGGCTCCTCTGTAAGGCCAGGACCAGTCTCGGTTGCTGATGTGTCAACGCTGAGAGGTGTGGTAATGTCAGTCATGCCACTTGTGACATACTCGGTTGTTCCGCTGGACACTTCATCTTCAGAAGAGGTGACCATTTCCTCAGTTACAGGGGATCCTTCTTCTGGAGTGGATGTGACTGAGGTAGGCGGCGACATTGTCTCCACTGTATCCGAGGATGTTGTTTCTTCCCCAGAGGATGTTATCATTTCCTCCGTCACACCAGACTCTTCATCACCCGATGATGTCCCCTCCGGAATTGTACTTGTTGCCATAGTGACGGTGCTGTCAGGCTCTTGTGTGACAGTGCTGCTTGTTTCATCTCCAGATGCAGTGAAGGGCTCCTCTGTAAGACCAGAACCAGTCTCGATTGCTGATGTGTCATCGCTGAGAGGTGTGGTAATGTCAGTCATGCCACTTGTGGCATACTCAGTTGCTCCACTGGAAACTTCATCTCCAGAAGAGGTGACCATTTTCTCAGTTACAGGGGATCCTTCTTCTGGAGTGGATGTGACTGAGGTAGGCGGCGACATTGTCTCCACTGTATCCGAGGATGTTGTTTCTTCCCCAGAGGATGTTATCATTTCCTCCGTCACACCAGACTCTTCATCACCCGATGATGTCCCCTCCGGAATTGTACTTGTTGCCATAGTGACGGTGCTGTCAGGCTCTTGTGTGACAGTGCTGCTTGTCTCATCTCCAGATGCAGTGAAGGGCTCCTCTGTAAGACCAGAACCAGTCTCGGTTGCTGATGTGTCATCGCTGAGAGGTGTGGTAATGTCAGTCATGCCACTTGTGGCATACTCAGTTGCTCCGCTGGAAACTTCATCTCCCGAAGAGGTTATCATTTCCTCAGTTACAGGGGATCCTTCTTCTGGAGTGGATGTGACTGAGGTAGGCGGCGACATTGTCTCCACTGTATCCGAGGATGTTGTTTCTTCCCCAGAGGATGTTATCATTTCCTCCGTCACACCAGACTCTTCATCACCCGATGATGTCCCCTCCGGAATTGTACTTGTTGCCATAGGGACGGTGCTGTCAGGCTCTTGTGTGACAGTGCTGCTTGTTTCATCTCCAGATGCAGTGAAGGGCTCCTCTGTAAGACCAGAACCAGTCTCGGTTGCTGATGTGTCATCGCTGAGAGGTGTGGTAATGTCAGTCATGCCACTTGTGGCATACTCATTTGCTCCACTGGAAACTTCATCTCCAGAAGAGGTGACCATTTCCTCAGTTACAGGGGATCCTTCTTCTGGAGTGGATGTGACTGAGGTAGGCGGCGACATTGTCTCCACTGTATCCGAGGATGTTGTTTCTTCCCCAGAGGATGTTATCATTTCTTCCGTCACACCAGACTCTTCATCACCCGATGATGTCCCCTCCGGAATTGTACTTGTTGCCATAGTGACGGTGCTGTCAGGCTCTTGTGTGACAGTGCTGCTTGTTTCATCTCCAGATGCAGTGAAGGGCTCCTCTGTAAGACCAGAACCAGTCTCGGTTGCTGATGTGTCATCGCTGAGAGGTGTGGTAGTGTCAGTCATGCCACTTGTGGCATACTCAGTTGCTCCACTGGAAACTTCATCTCCAGAAGAGGTGACCATTTCCTCAGTTACAGGGGATCCTTCTTCTGGAGTGGATGTGACTGAGGTAGGCGGCGACATTGTCTCCACTGTATCCGAGGATGTTGTTTCTTCCCCAGAGGATGTTATCATTTCCTCCGTCACACCAGACTCTTCATCACCCGATGATGTCCCCTCCGGAATTGTACTTGTTGCCATAGGGACGGTGCTGTCAGGCTCTTGTGTGACAGTGCCGCTTGTTTCATCCTCAGATGCAGTGAAGGGCTCCTCTGTAAGACCAGAACCAGTCTCGGTTGCTGATGTGTCAACGCTGAGAGGTGTGGTAATGTCAGTCATGCCACTTGTGACATACTCGGTTATTCCGCTGGACACTTCATCTTCAGAAGAGGTGACCATTTCCTCAGTTACAGGGGATCCTTCTTCTGGAGTGGATGTGACTGAGGTAGGCGGCGACATTGTCTCCACTGTATCCGAGGATGTTGTTTCTTCCCCAGAGGATGTTATCATTTCTTCCGTCACACCAGACTCTTCATCACCCGATGATGTCCCCTCCGGAATTGTACTTGTTGCCATAGTGACGGTGCTGTCAGGCTCTTGTGTGACAGTGCTGCTTGTTTCATCTCCAGATGCAGTGAAGGGCTCCTCTGTAAGACCAGAACCAGTCTCGGTTGCTGATGTGTCATCGCTGAGAGGTGTGGTAGTGTCAGTCATGCCACTTGTGGCATACTCAGTTGCTCCACTGGAAACTTCATCTCCAGAAGAGGTGACCATTTCCTCAGTTACAGGGGATCCTTCTTCTGGAGTGGATGTGACTGAGGTAGGCGGCGACATTGTCTCCACTGTATCCGAGGATGTTGTTTCTTCCCCAGAGGATGTTATCATTTCCTCCGTCACACCAGACTCTTCATCACCCGATGATGTCCCCTCCGGAATTGTACTTGTTGCCATAGTGACGGTGCTGTCAGGCTCTTGTGTGACAGTGCTGCTTGTCTCATCTCCAGATGCAGTGAAGGGCTCCTCTGTAAGACCAGAACCAGTCTCGGTTGCTGATGTGTCAACGCTGAGAGGTGTGGTAGTGTCAGTCATGCCACTTGTGGCATACTCGGTTGTTCCGCTGGAAACTTCATCTCCGGAAGAGGTGACCATTTCCTCAGTTACAGGGTATGATTCTTCTGGAGTGGATGTGACAGAGGTAGGCGGCGACATTGTCTCCACTGTATCCGAGGATGTTGTTTTTTCCCCAGAGGATGTTATCATTTCCTCCGTCACACCAGACTCTTCATCACCCGATGATGTCCCCTCCGGAAGTGTACTTGTTGCCATAGGGACGGTGCTGTCAGGCTCTTGTGTGACAGTGCTGCTTGTTTCATCTCCAGATGTAGTGAATGGCTCCTCTGTAAGGCCCGAACCAGTCTCGGTTGCTGATGTGTCATCGCTGAGAGGTGTGGTAGTGTCAGTCATGCCACTTGTGGCATACTCGGTTGTTCCGCTGGAAACTTCATCTCCAGAAGAGGTGACCATTTCCTCAGTGACAGGGGATCCTTCTTCTGGAGAGGATGTGACAGAGGTAGACGGCGACATTGACTCCGCTGTATCCGAGGATGTTGTTTCTTCCCCAGAAGATGTTATCATTTCCTCCGTCACACCAGACTCTTCATCACCCGATGATGTCCACTCCTGAATTGTACTTGTTGCCATAGTGACGGTGCTGTCAGGCTCTTGTGTGACAGTGCTGCTTGTTTCATCTCCAGATGCAGTGAATGGCTCCTCTGTAAGGCCAGAACCAGTCTCGGTTGCTGATGTGTCATCCCTGAGAGGTGTGGTAGTGTCAGTCATGCCACTTGTGGCATACTCGGTTGTTCCGCTGGACACTTCATCTCCAGAAGAGGTGATCATTTCCTCAGTTACAGGGGATCCTTCTTCTGGAGTGGATGTGACTGAGGTAGGCGGCGACATTGTCTCCACTGTATCCGAGGATGTTGTTTCTTCCCCAGAGGATGTTATCATTTCCTCCGTCACACCAGACTCTTCATCACCCGATGATGTCCCCTCCGGAATTGTACTTGTTGCCATAGGGACGGTGCTGTCAGGCTCTTGTGTGACAGTGCTGCTTGTTTCATCTCCAGATGCAGTGAAGGGCTCCTCTGTAAGGCCAGAACCAGTCTTGGTTTCTGATATGTCAACGCTGAGAGGTGTGGTAGTGTAGGTCATACCACTAGTTGCATACTCGGTTGTTCCGCTAGAAACTTCATCTCCAGAAGAGGTGACCATTTCCTCAGTTACAGGGGATCCTTCTTCTGGAGTGGATGTGACTGAGGTAGGCGGCGACATTGTCTCCACTGTATCCGAGGATGTTGTTTCTTCCCCAGAGGATGTTATCATTTCCTCCGTCACACCAGACTCTTCATCACCCGATGATGTCCCCTCCGGAATTGTACTTGTTGCCATAGTGACGGTGCTGTCAGGCTCTTGTGTGACAGTGCTGCTTGTTTCATCTCCAGATGCAGTGAAGGGCTCCTCTGTAAGACCAGAACCAGTCTCGGTTGCTGATGTGTCATCGCTGAGAGGTGTGGTAGTGTCAGTCATGCCACTTGTGGCATACTCAGTTGCTCCACTGGAAACTTCATCTCCAGAAGAGGTGACCATTTCCTCAGTTACAGGGGATCCTTCTTCTGGAGTGGATGTGACTGAGGTAGGCGGCGACATTGTCTCCACTGTATCCGAGGATGTTGTTTCTTCCCCAGAGGATGTTATCATTTCCTCCGTCACACCAGACTCTTCATCACCCGATGATGTCCCCTCCGGAATTGTACTTGTTGCCATAGTGACGGTGCTGTCAGGCTCTTGTGTGACAGTGCTGCTTGTCTCATCTCCAGATGCAGTGAAGGGCTCCTCTGTAAGGCCAGAACCAGTCTCGGTTGCTGATGTGTCAACGCTGAGAGGTGTGGTAGTGTCAGTCATGCCACTTGTGGCATACTCGGTTGTTCCGCTGGAAACTTCATCTCCGGAAGAGGTGACCATTTCCTCAGTTACAGGGTATGATTCTTCTGGAGTGGATGTGACAGAGGTAGGCGGCGACATTGTCTCCACTGTATCCGAGGATGTTGTTTTTTCCCCAGAGGATGTTATCATTTCCTCCGTCACACCAGACTCTTCATCACCCGATGATGTCCCCTCCGGAATTGTACTTGTTGCCATAGGGACGGTGCTGTCAGGCTCTTGTGTGACAGTGCTGCTTGTTTCATCTCCAGATGTAGTGAATGGCTCCTCTGTAAGGCCCGAACCAGTCTCGGTTGCTGATGTGTCAACGCTGAGAGGTGTGGTAGTGTCAGTCATGCCACTTGTGGCATACTCGGTTGTTCCGCTGGAAACTTCATCTCCAGAAGAGGTGACCATTTCCTCAGTGACAGGGGATCCTTCTTCTGGAGAGGATGTGACAGAGGTAGACGGCGACATTGACTCCGCTGTATCCGAGGATGTTGTTTCTTCCCCAGAAGATGTTATCATTTCCTCCGTCACACCAGACTCTTCATCACCCGATGATGTCCCCTCCTGAATTGTACTTGTTGCCATAGTGACGGTGCTGTCAGGCTCTTGTGTGACAGTGCTGCTTGTTTCATCTCCAGATGCAGTGAATGGCTCCTCTGTAAGGCCAGAACCAGTCTCGGTTGCTGATGTGTCATCCCTGAGAGGTGTGGTAGTGTCAGTCATGCCACTTGTGGCATACTCAGTTGCTCCACTGGAAACCTCATCTCCAGAAGAGGTGACCATTTCCTCAGTTACAGGGGATCCTTCTTCTGGAGTGGATGTGACTGAGGTAGGCGGCGACATTGTCTCCACTGTATCCGAGGATGTTGTTTCTTCCCCAGAGGATGTTATCATTTCCTCCGTCACACCAGACTCTTCATCACCCGATGATGTCCCCTCCGGAATTGTACTTGTTGCCATAGTGACGGTGCTGTCAGGCTCTTGTGTGACAGTGCTGCTTGTCTCATCTCCAGATGCAGTGAAGGGCTCCTCTGTAAGGCCAGAACCAGTCTCGGTTGCTGATGTGTCAACGCTGAGAGGTGTGGTAGTGTCAGTCATGCCACTTGTGGCATACTCGGTTGTTCCGCTGGAAACTTCATCTCCGGAAGAGGTGACCATTTCCTCAGTTACAGGGTATGATTCTTCTGGAGTGGATGTGACAGAGGTAGGCGGCGACATTGTCTCCACTGTATCCGAGGATGTTGTTTTTTCCCCAGAGGATGTTATCATTTCCTCCGTCACACCAGACTCTTCATCACCCGATGATGTCCCCTCCGGAATTGTACTTGTTGCCATAGGGACGGTGCTGTCAGGCTCTTGTGTGACAGTGCTGCTTGTTTCATCTCCAGATGTAGTGAATGGCTCCTCTGTAAGGCCCGAACCAGTCTCGGTTGCTGATGTGTCAACGCTGAGAGGTGTGGTAGTGTCAGTCATGCCACTTGTGGCATACTCGGTTGTTCCGCTGGAAACTTCATCTCCAGAAGAGGTGACCATTTCCTCAGTGACAGGGGATCCTTCTTCTGGAGAGGATGTGACAGAGGTAGACGGCGACATTGACTCCGCTGTATCCGAGGATGTTGTTTCTTCCCCAGAGGATGTTATCATTTCCTCCGTCACACCAGACTCTTCATCACCCGATGATGTCCCCTCCTGAATTGTACTTGTTGCCATAGTGACGGTGCTGTCAGGCTCTTGTGTGACAGTGCTGCTTGTTTCATCTCCAGATGCAGTGAATGGCTCCTCTGTAAGGCCAGAACCAGTCTCGGTTGCTGATGTGTCATCCCTGAGAGGTGTGGTAGTGTCAGTCATGCCACTTGTGGCATACTCGGTTGTTCCGCTGGACACTTCATCTCCAGAAGAGGTGATCATTTCCTCAGTTACAGGGGATCCTTCTTCTGGAGTGGATGTGTCTGAGGTAGGCGGCGACATTGTCTCCACTGTATCCGAGGATGTTGTTTCTTCCCCAGAGGATGTTATCATTTCCTCCGTCACACCAGACTCTTCATCACCCGATGATGTCCCCTCCGGAATTGTACTTGTTGCCATAGGGACGGTGCTGTCAGGCTCTTGTGTGACAGTGCTGCTTGTTTCATCTCCAGATGCAGTGAAGGGCTCCTCTGTAAGGCCAGAACCAGTCTTGGTTTCTGATATGTCAACGCTGAGAGGTGTGGTAGTGTAGGTCATACCACTAGTTGCATACTCGGTTGTTCCGCTAGAAACTTCATCTCCAGAAGAGGTGACCATTGCAGTGAATGGCTCCTCTGTAAGGCCAGAACCTGTCTCGGTTGCTGATGTGTCATCGCTGAGAGGTGTGGTAGTGTCAACCATGCCACTAGTGGCCATAGTGACGGTGCTGTCAGGCTCTTGTGTGACAGTGCTGCTTGTTTCGCTAGACATTGTCGTTCTAGAAGAGGTGATCATGTCTTCAATTACAGAGGTTTCTTCTTCAGGAATGTATGTCACTGAGTCATGAGATGGTGACACTGCTTCGCCCGTTGTGGCAGGTATCAGTTCCTGTGTTGTTCTGATTTGTTTTATCGTAGTTTCATCATCTGAACCTTTTGTTGATTCTTGAAAAGTTGCTGTTGTTGTTCCAGCCATAAAAACTTCACATAACTTCCCTGTCCAATTTTCAGTACAGGAACAGGTGTATCCATATTCATTTTCTACGCATGTCCCGTCGTTTTCACACGGCCTGGCAATACAACCGTTGAGATTAATTTCACAGAGTTTTCCATCATAGTTATCATCACAGATGCATCGAAAGCTGTCCCCTATTTCCAAACACAAACTATTATGTAAACAGGGTTGGCTGTGACATAAACCTAGTTTGCTCTCGCAGGTTACACCTGTGTATTCTCCAACACAAAAACATTGATTGCCATAATCACTGGTTTCACAGCTACCACCGTTCAGACAACCTGTCTTCAAACAATCCGAAAAATGTGATGTAGTCGTTTCAGTACTTTGTCCTTCTGATGACTCTTCACCTTCGGATTCTTTTGTTTCTTTTAAGGGTGTTTGGGCTGTGGTAGGAATATTGTCAATTGACACTGGAGAGTGTTCTATCGCCGTATGATCACTCGCAGTAGCAGTTACGGCACCTTGCTTTGACCTTGGTGTTGCTGATGGAGAAAATGATGGTGATTCTGCCTCTGTTGTTTTATTAAGGGATGAATGTGTGATTGGAACGTCTGTTGAAGCAGCCACAGTGAACGTAGTCCTTCTTTCTTCGGTCGTGTTGACGAAACTGCCCTCAGCTGTAAACTCCGATGACGCTGTCGATGTTTCAGTGATGTTCTGTAACGACGATTCTGTGTCTGGAGACATTGTCATTGATGCACTGTCAGCTGACTCGGATGTAACAAGCATCTGTGTTGTAGTTGACGAGGACGATGTCGACGTGGACGACGCCGTTTCGGTGGTTTTCTGTGTCGTTTCTTTATCAACTAAAACCTCACATAACAAACCAGTAAATCCATCAGGACATGAACACGTGAAGCTGTTTACTCCATCTCTGCACTGACCACCGTTTCTACAGGGCAAACTTTCACAATCGTCAATATTAATTTCACACACCTCTCCAGTATATCCGACTGGACATTTGCAAAGAAATCCAGCGACAGTATCCATACAGGTCCCTCCGCTGAGACATGGGCCACTATCACAGCCGCCCTCTTTGTTCTGGCACAACTCACCAGTGTACCCCTTTGCGCAGTAGCACAGGAAAGTTCCAACCTGGTCCAGACACGATCCCCCGTTCTGACAGGGTTCAGATTCACACTCATCTTCATTGACCTCGCAATGTGTTCCCGATGTTCCTGTTAAACAGTGGCACTGATAGGCGTTGCTCAGATCCTCGCAAAACCCACCGTTCACACAGGGACTGCTGGCGCATTCGTTGATACTGAACTCACAGCTTTTACCTGAAGTATAACGGTTTTTGAGTTAGGGGAATGTAAAATAGTTGAACATTGATCGTGAGAGTAGCTTTACATCTTTACTCATACATCATTAACGTTTCATTATTTATTAGTATTTAGTAACTTAGTTTGGTTTAACGCCGCGTGTCAGATGAATCGGAGGAAAGTACGAAGTGATGCAGGTCTCAGACGTTTACCGATTTGGTAAGACCACCAGCACGCATATGGTCCGGACAAACCTAAAACATACTCAGGACGAATCTGGGATTCAAACTGACATACACAAGGGGCGCAACTCTGCATAGCGATTCGCGGCGCCTGACACAACGGGGCCACCTGTGCTTACCCATTTAAGTTATTAACGCGTTCCTAATTAACTTTTGCGTTGTACAGTAAAGTACGGTTATAACGAACTCAAAGGGACTACTTATTTAGTTCGTTATAACCGTAGTTCGTTATAAGCATATATACAGCATAACTACAGCAAATAGTCGGGGCCAAAAAAGTAAGTTCGTTATATCCGTCAGTTCGTTATAAGCGTGTTCGTTATAACCGTAGTTTACTGTAATTGATGTGTGTTGATATACATACCCGTGTAACCAGGGGAACAGTCACATGTGTAGTCATTCAGACCATCGTGGCAGTTTGTGGCGTGCATACAAGGCGCGCTTGCACATTCGTCAATGTTGAATTCACAGCGAGACCCTGTCCAACCTTGCATGCACGTGCAGTTGTAGCCATTCCAACCTTCCTCGCACGTGCCCTGTGATATTAATGCATAACGTCATGTTTAGATGTTCGTGTGGGGGATGATTGGCCTGGTGGGTTGAGCGTTAACTCCTCTCATCACATTCGATTGCTAACGTTCGTACAATGTGTGAAGCGCATTTTTGTGTCGCCCGCCGTGATATTGCTGGAATTATGCTAAAAAGCGGCCTGAAACCATGGTCACTCACTCACTCAGATGTTCATAGTGTTAACATTTTATTGGTAATGTCATTTGGAGAGTAGGGATTATGGCTTTATGATGGTTTGAGCAAATCCTAGTAATCTCCTGTTGGGAGACACCAAGACTGTCTTAATACATTGTACCCGTGCGTGGAATTGACGAGACGACCTAAAGTTATGCCTACTAGGCTTCCCGGCCGAGGCAGTATGTGACTGATTAATTTTGGACGCAGTTTGGTTAAACGCCGCCTAAACAGTATTTCGGTAATATCACGCCGTGAACGTCAACTTAATGTAAGAGTGAGTGAGTGAGTTGGGTTTAACGCCGCTTTTAACAGTATTCCAGTTATATCACAGCGTGTCAGCTTAATGTGGGAGGAAAGCCCGAAGTGATGCAGGTCTCAGACGTTTACCACTTCGGTGAAACCCACGAGCACGGGTATGGTGCTGACAAACCTAGAAACATAATCGGGGCGAACCGGGATTCAAACCCACAATCATAGGTTTCTGGCGTTCCCAAGGGACGCAACTCTGCACATCGATTCAACTGGGCCACCCGTGCCCCCATATACGTCCAGAACTAAGCATGCTATTCTTTGTAGCAATAACATTGTTCCAATAACATAATATCCACTGGTATTTTAAACAAATAGTTCAAGAGTTTTTAGGAGTAAATGCATTTTAAACCGTCAATCTATAGATGAACGCATTACAGTATCCTCAATGTATTTATTCGGGTCGCTGTCAACAATTTACACAGACCTCATTCAGGCAAGGGTTGCTTGTACATTCTTTGATATCGGATTCACACAAACGACCAGTGAAGCCGGGTTGACATATGCAGAGAAAGCCATCGGAAGCATCTTGGCAGAAGCCGTCGTTCAAGCAGGGGTTGCTGGCGCACTCGTTGACCTCGGCCTCGCATACGACCCCTGGAAATGGGAGATAACTGTACAGCATGTGGTGATTAGGAGTAGGAGCATTCGTCATAGAAGTAGTAGTCGTCGCAGAATAGCAGTAGTTATAACAGTTGTAGTAGTAGTCGTCATGGTAGAAGTAGTCGTCATAGACGGAGCAGTCATCATTGATGATGAAGTAGGAGAAGTCGTCATAGTTGAAGTTGTAGTTATAGGAGTAGTTAAAGAAGGAGTCGTGATCGTAAAATTAGTAGTCGTCATAGACGTAGTAGTCGTAAAAGAAGTCGTCTTTATCGTAGAAGTAGTCTTCGTCATAGACGTAGTTGTCGTTATACAAGTAGTCTTCATCGCAGAAGGGGTAGTCGTCATAGACGTAGCAGTTGTCATCATATAAGTAGTCTTTGCGTTAGACGTAGTTGTCGTTATACAAGTAGTCGTCATCATAGAAGTAGTAGTCTTCATAGAAGTAGTCGTCATCATATAAGTAGTCTTTGCCATAGACGTAGTTGTCGTTATACAAGTAGTACTCATCGTAGAAGTAGTAGTCGTCGTAGAAGTAGTCGTTATCGTAGAAGTAGTAGTCGTCATAGGAGTAGTCATCGAAGAAGTAGTAGTCGTCGTAGAAGTAGTCGTTATCGTAGAAGTAGCCGTTATCGTAGAAGTCGTCATAGAAGTAGTCGTCATCGTAGAAGTAGTAGTCGTCATAGAAGTAGTCGTCATCGTAGAAGTAGTAGTCGTCGTAGAAGTAGTCGTTATCGTAGAAGTAGTTGTTATCGTAGAAGTAGTAGTCGTCATAGAAGTAGTCGTCATCATAGAAGTAGTCTTTGCCATAGACGTAGTTGTCGTTATACAAGTAGTCGTCATCATAGAAGTAGTAGTCGTCATAGAAGTAGTCGTCATCATAGAATCAGTCTTCGTCATAGACGTAGTAGTCGCTATACAAGTAGTCTTCACTGAGTCTGGACTGTGGAAACCATTGATTGATAGCATGAGCAGCCACCAAAGAAGTGGATGTGCGATGCCACACAATAAGCTATCCTCGTTGTAGCAGGGAATTCGCGATAATCGTGGCAACAGCACCGGCACTCAAAACAATACCTCTCGACGAGAAACAATAGGAAAACGTCTGTGATGTCATACGTTACTGTGTTACAAGTAGGTGTTGTTCATGTCGTCATATCGCAGATTACAAGAACAGAGACTGGTCACCTGTTCGTCCCGGGGGACACTGGCAGGTATACATGTTGATGCCATCTACGCAGATAGCACCGGGGTAGCAGCGATGACCGTCACAGTCGTCCACGTTGTTCAAGCACAGATCACCGGTCCAACCTTGGCAAATATTAGAACATTTCTTTCAGAAAAAATGCATAAATATATATTTTAATTTAGTTACTTGTTTTGCTTAAAAATAAATCAGCTTTTGAAAGGGAGTCTGGTCGTCCATTGTTACGATGCTTCGTTAAAAAAAGGTATTTACCCTTGGGGCGGCCAAGTCCGACCATGATCTTCCGCTGTATGTCATGTTTTGTATTATCTCGAATTATAGTTTTACACCATGCACAGATGTCTAATAGTCTGGAGTTATTGATAAGCAAATCGTTCCACC